TGAATTTTCTCCTCTTTACTAAGAAAAGAGCAATAAACACAAATGCAGTCTTTTTTAAAGACGTGTATCGTTTGTATTCTTTCCCAGAAGTGAAGATTGGAGCCTCTGCCTAAGTATCAGTAGGAAAATACTACAGGTTTTGTTTTTTTGAACAGTACTCACTCTCTGCATTCCTTCTTCATTCACACAAACTCTCTGGAATAGCTGTTTAAATATTTTGCTCAGAGTAAAGGCAAAAAATCTGACAGTTCCTAATTGCATACTGTGACCCATCTCATCCAGGATTTCCATGGCTTCTTCTTGAATAATATCAGGCGATTCTCCCATTTCTTTTGCTAACTAAAGAGAAATGAAGCAAACAAAAGAACAATCAGATGTTGCCCCCTTCTCCTTGCCCACACACACTATTCAGTGTGCCACAATAGTTACAGCAGCAGTAATTCTAGAGTTTTATCTGATAGGCATACATCTAATCTTACAGAATCTGTTCAGCGTCAAACAGCATGAGAAAGCCACGTTAAAGCTGAGCTGTCAACAGAGGCTGAGTAGCAACTTTTCTTCCTCGAAAACATACTATCTGAATATTTTAGCCTGTAGCAACTTCAGAGGAGGTTTAAATTCTAAGAATATTTCCTACATTATTGGTCTGAAGATGGTTGTGTGCAGTTTTCTTTAATTAGTAAAATGAAACTTAAGCTTGCAGAAATACTCCAGTAGATCTCAGAAGTGCATTTGGGTTGGACTTTAAGACTTAACCAAAGAACTTCATTTACTGCTCTGGCAATGGCTAGCTGAAATGCAAACAAAGCACTGTCTCTACCAGCTTTGCATGTCAATGTGTTGGGTTTTTTTCCTGTTCTTATGCACATTCCATTTTGAAGTGTTTGTTTTGTTTTTTTAAACAGACTTAAAAATCATCTATTTATTTAAGAGAAGTTTACATTCCCTTTTAAATAAATATTTAACTGAAAAGTTCATCTTTTGCTGTTATGAAATGAGGAACGTGCCTTTTACTGAACATCAAACAGGAAGAAAAAGGAAGAACGACTGAATAAAAAGCTTCCTAAGCAGCATGGCTCAATTTGGAGGCCAGCAATACTTGCAGTAATCTCTAGCTTGGAGCTGAGGAGCACGCTGCAATGGCAAGACTGCAAACCTCCTTCAACCACTTCACACTCATCTGACAAATTTCTATCAAAATCATTTTCCATCAGAAAAACAGCACTTAAGAAGAAAACATCACACGAGCATCTTCCTGACAAACACCATGCAAAATACTTTCTTTCAGATAATGCTTTAATGTTTCCAAATTGAAAGGTTTCATTTTTTTTTTTTTATTAAATATTACTTAGCAATTCCTGATAGCAGTAAGACTGAAACATGTAGGTCATGCTTCAGTTTGTAACCTCATAGCAAGCTTTGATGTATCATACCTGACACTGACCATTTAAAAATAGAAATAACATGGCAGCCACCCACTCTGAACTAACTGAAATATCTTATACCTGCATTTGCTAGCCTGAAATTTATTTATTTGTTTAATACTGAAAATGGGTAATTCTGCTAAGTATTCCTTATTCCAGCCATTTCCAAATACGAGTCAGTTGAATATAAAATATTTTATTCAATACAACGTAGCAGGTGCCCCTCATCTTAAAACAAAGATGCGGACACATCTTACTATTTCTACTTCAAAGAACTGTGTGAAATCAAACTTTCATTTTAGGGAATGTAGCACTCATGATTTCATCATAAACACATCGCTAGCCTGTAAAATTGCTACAAGACATCCTCAAAGTACAGAAGTGTCTACTAAGCAGAGTGTGTCTTTCATAATGCTGCTCTGTGTCAAGGACAGTGGAGAAAGGGACAAAAACAGTCAAGCACGCTGGTTAAGTTGGATGGTGAAGTGTCAAATAAGCAAAATCAAAACACTGCAATATAAACCAGATACCTAACAGCTTTAATGGCAACCCTGTGGTAAAACAGTACTTGTCTTTCCTGCCAGAAGAGAGTGGCTCTCAAGTTACTGATTTAATGGACCGCCTACCAAACTACACCTATGGGGTTTGACAAGGCCAGCAATATTTGTTTTTTCCTGTTGCCACACAGAATTTGTCTGTGTTCAATTTAGTTTGTTTAACAGCTCAGCGTTCAGACTCACCTGCTTGATAACATATTGAACCTGCTCTGATTGGAGAACAACACTTTTAATAGCATTTGGCTTGCAAGGTGAAAGTCCTTTATAGATCACAGGCGTATAACATTTCATTGCATATCTCAAGTCACTGGACAATCGTCTTTCCTCCAAGATATCTTCAAACTCATCTCTTTTCTTTGATATGAGCTCTTTCTGCTAGGAACATACAAATAAAGAATGAGACACCATTTGGGGTGATTCAGTGATCTGCTTGGATGCAGTAGTAATACATTACATGCAAAACTTTTGCACTGTTTGGTTGCTTTACTTTTTCTTTTTTTCTTCTTTTCATATTTCTGTAGTGTCTGCATTCCATACTCTGAGCGCATGAACAATGCACTGCTTGGAACAATGCTGCAATTAGAAACTTAAAAAAATAAATAACTGAACCAAAACAAAAGCAACAAATGTTTCCAACTGCAAAGGTCACCAGATCACCATATGTCACATTGCTCAATTCTGCCCAACAGGAAGAGGTTTAGGGAACACCTTGGCTTTAAAGCTAAAATGCCTTGCCTCCAGTCTCTTCATGATTAATAGGTATTAGCAGCTTTGATCTCTCCTCTTACAGCTGCATGAAAACAATAACAGGAACAACATTATAAGAACACAGTCATCAACAGAAGACAGTAGTATCCCTGCTGCTTTAAGCTGCACCTGCGACCTTGGTGATCTCTTCTGGCTTTCAACAAGCTTGGATACAAAGGTACAGAAAGCATAGCCAGGTAGGAACAAAACAAAAAGCAAAGTACCAGCCATGTGAAGATCAGAATGCAACACGGTGCACAGTACAGTTATAAAGAGAGCACAGTCTCTGAACAACCAATGTCACTGTTAAGCAAGAAAGCATCTAGAACTAGCTGTGGATCCATCCCACTGCAGAAATCTCTTTCACAAAACTCTTCTCCCCCAGACACCAGGCATGGTCTGTGTTAGAGAGGGATGACTCCTCTTATCTTCTGTAACAGCACAGTCTATGTGAATGACCCTTCAGTCTTTCCAGAACTCATATTGTGTCCTTCCAAACCTCAAAATAGCAGCAATATTCACCAGACAAGCAAAACTCAGTGGAACATAAATATAAAGGTAACAGTTATGATTAAGAGCATTTATTAGAAGAAATGCTAAAGAGAAAAAAAAAAAAAAAAAAAAAAAAAAAAAAAAAAGCCCTTCAAAACCCCAAATGAATCAAGAGCCAATTTCATTTTATCAGAGAACACAAACCCCTACTATAACGCCTGACATTGTTATATTTTCCCCCATAAGCTACAGCCAGGTTTTGGTACCATCCTTTACTATATCAGTACTTGGTAGTTCATCTCACTTTTCTCTCCAGTATCATAGTTCAGAGAGCTGTCCCATAGTAATTGCAAAACCACCCTCTACACAGACTTTTTAAAAAGTCATAGGTTTAAGCTCATACATGCTATATTAAATGTAGGCCCACATCCATTTAAAAGCTTTATTATTTTTTTTCCTATGTAGTGTAGAATTAAAGTTTTCAATCTTTCTTCTTCCACAGCTTTCATCTAGCTGATGTCACACAAGTGCCAAGGAAGCCATAAGCTGACAAGGAGTCTGGAGATAGTTTGTGTCAATCATCTGTGGCCTTGATAGCTTGTAGCAACCTTTCTAAATACAAATAAAACAGAAGAAAGCAAACCACTTTTGGAAGAAATAAGAAGAGAAACTCAGCTCTGGTAGCACCAGCCATATCAGCAGCAGCTGTGCTTCTGCAGCCATTAATACAAGAGCACGTTGTGGATGACAGAGGCTGTACAAAGCCACAGCTAATGGAGAAGTCACCTGTCTGCCACTTCCGTTGATTTCACATTTCCAGATTTGATCTACAACTGCTACCCTTCCATGCTTTCATGTCCCGGTCTAACGTGGCACAGAGGGAGTGGAAAGAAATGCTCCTCTCGCACCGCACAAACTGCTGCTTGGATTCACCTGCAGGCTGGCAGAGACACACTTATAGGATACGCAGCTGAGAACCCTGGAACCAGAGAGCTCGCTTCTGTACGCGGTTATTCCCACACGGCTAAAGCACGGAGCGGAGTGGGGATGCCGCAACTTTCCACGATCCTCAGAACACAACAGGAGCGCACTTGGGTGCACCGGGGACAGCGGCACAGCGCCAGAGAAATACAGCAGTGCCGTTCAAGAACCCGAGCTGGAACTACGAGCCATATCCCTCTTTTCAATCCTTCGCCCCAATCCTAGCGAGAGGACAGGTTTAACACCCCACACCTCAATCTTCTCAGGGAAAAACGAGGACGGCGAACTCACTTTCAGTGACACAACACGGGGCAGCCCGCTCTGTCAAACTCATCCATGTGACAGCTCTCTAACAGCCACTTCAGCCGAAAACTCGCCAGCGGCAGCACGCTGCTGCCCAAACGCTCCGACAGCCGAATCCGGGGACAGCCGCAGGCCTTCCCTCCCGCCCTGCCCGGCACCTGCTGCCCGCCCGCAGGCCCCGCCCGAGCCCCACTTCAGATCGAATGCGGCCCGTGCAGGCGGCGGCCCCTCTCCCCACGCCGCCTACCGAGAACATGGGCGTCCCTCGCCGCGCCCGCCCGGCCGCCGTCGCTACCGCCGCCGCCATGGCTCTGCGAGCGCCGCCGCGCCTCGCCGCGCCCTGCTCGGCCGCCCTACCCCGTCGCTGCGGCGCCCTTCGCTGCGGCGCCCATGGCCCCTCGCCGCCCCGGCCCGGCTGCCCGGCGCGCTGAGGCGGGCGCGGGGGAGGGCGGGGGCACAGCGCCGTAGGCGGCGCCATCTTAGGGGCGACGGGAGCCGCTCGGGCTCAAGCGGCCTTCCGCTCTGAGCGCCATGGGGTCGCGGGAGCCCTGCCGGCGGCTGGAGGCGGTGCTCGGCGCTCTCTACGACTTGGGTGGGTGAGCGGAGCCGAAAGGAGATTTGCGGGAGGGAGGGCTGCGGGAAAAGGGGCCGCGGGAGGGAGGGCCGCTCGCTGCGACGCGAAGTTGACCCGCGCACGTGTTCTGCCGCGCAGGTGATGAGCCCGGCGTCCGGGGCTCGGCGGGGGACGGCGATGCTAGCGAGGCGGCAGCGGAGGAGGAAGAGGAGGACAGCCAGGAAGCGCAGCCGACAGCCCCGAGCGATGCTGGCGGGGCGAAGAGAGGGAGGCGCGGCGCCCGCGGCTTCTTCGGAGGGCTGCGGGAGGAGATGTGCCGCACCGCCCCGCCGCCGCCGCACCACGGCGCGCCGCCCCCCGCCCAGGTGGAGGTGGTGGTGTTCCGCGAGAGGAAGAGGAAGGCGCGGCCCGACCCCGTTCCGGCGGCGCCCGGCGGCGGCACCCAGGTAGAACCGAGGCGGGGGAACCTCCGGGCTGGGGGCTCCGTCCCAAAACTGCCCTGCTCTGTTGGTGCTGCTGCAAAACGAGAAAACCTCAGCTACCAACAAAAATGTGCTGCCCTCCTTTAAGCAGGAGCGTGGGTGGTGAAAGTTCTTTAAAGCACAGATTTTTTTTTTTTTTTTCCCCTCCCCCTAAAGCCACGCCAGAGACTTTACATTGAGGGACAGGGATGCGCCTTTGTGGGTACAGCAGAAAGCAAGCAAGATCCCTAGGTGCTTGCCTGGTTTTGTTGTCTCTGCCCTCTGCCATCATAAAGCAGTAACTCCTGCTCCAAGGATCTCCCCTCCACCAGTACAGGTGCCTACAAGTCCCAGACCCCTCCCCGGATACCCAGCTAATGACAGCCAGCCCTGCTGGCAGGTTAAACAGGGGTAAGTGCAGTCTGAGAGGTAATGATTATGCCAGAGGAGGTTCAGGTCAGATATTAGGAAAATTTTCCACTCAGAGCAGTGAGGCACTGAAAGGGGCTACCCAGGGAGGTGATAGAGTCACCATCCTTAGAGGTATTGAGGAAACGTGGCTGTGGCACTGAGGAATATGGTTAGTGATCATGGTGGGCATGGGTTGGTGGTTGGGCTAGGCTGTCTTAGTGGCCTTTTCCAACAATTAGGATTCTATGACCAATGGCTTTTTCTTCTGATTTCAAAAGATCTCTGATTAAGTATTTTGCATTGGAAACAGAAAAGTAAATCCCAGCGACATAAATAAACCCATCCATGTGGCTGCCAATGCAGTACAAAACGTGAACACCCAGCTTGCCAGTTCACCAGCTTGCCAGTGGCTATGCTTTTACATAAATATGTTTATTACTTCAAGCCAAACACAAGGCTTAGCCTCTAGCAGTGTCCTACAAATAAAACAGGCAGAAAAGCCTCTTAACTGTTCCTCTGCCTCAATGTTTCATGTGTTGCCCTCACCTCGTGGGTGTGAGGGGCCTGCAGGTCACCGACAAGCAAGGAGCACCTTGAGGGGCTTGTGCTGGGTATCTTATGGAGGGAGTGTCTTGTAGGCATTAGGTCTCAGGCTCCTGATTGGTTTATGGGCACCCAGTGTCCTTACACTACCAAAAGCCAGGGCACGAAGAGAAAGGTGATCTTGAAGGTCTTTTCCAATATGAGCAATTCTATGATTCTATGGGCCTGGCTGGAAGTTACCATGCCTTCCACAGTGGGTAGAAGTCTACCATGGGTCAGCATTGTAGTGTTTCTCTGGCAGTTTGCCTTAATTTGCACTTATAGCCGTAACATCAGAAGCCCAGTTCTAAAATAAGTTCTAATGGGCATTTGATGAGGCTCACCACTATGGAAGGTTGACGTGGGACTGGGGATCTCTAGAGAGTGAACTGAGCAGTTGGTTGAACTCTTTTCTTTTTTTTCTTTCTTTTTTTTTGTGTGTGTGTGTGCGCATGCATGTGCTTTTTCCAGTATGATTTCCTCCAGAAACTGTTCCAGATTTTCATTTTCTTATGCTTTTTTTTGTTTGTATGTTTTTCTGCCTGTAAAAGCAGACCTGTTAGGCCTGTTAATGAAATGTTCTGTAGGCAACCAGTTTTCATTATGATATAGATTGCCAGACTACATGCAGCTTTGCAGAGCTAGAAGACATCTGGCTTTGTTGTATGCGGAGGGAAGCTGTGCTTTGATGTAGCCTGAGTTCATTGCTGGACTAAATGTGACTAAATATTCTAGAGAGCAAAAGAAACTTTGTACTGAGTGTTGCCACCAGCTGTCAGTACACAAAGTTACCTTTCTCCAAGTCCAAAGCAAAATAACTTCAAGTTCACATTGTATCCTGCTTTAGCAGTTTTAGGAGAGATTTTGAAATGGAAGTATGCATGATGCATAGCACTTTTAAAAACGTTGTATAAACTTGAAATTATAAAAATTAATTGAATTTATTATTTTGTCTGTTTTTTTGTCTGAATTATGGAACTCTTGGAAAGCATTAGCTAATAATGTAGACAATGAAGTGCGGGACAAAGCTATGTATGTTCTGTGATATAATGGCACCCCGTAAATTTTACAAGGCCGTTCCAATACGACCTTATCTTCATATTTAAAATGCTACTGACACCCTCTTACCTTGACTTATTAAAAGAGGAAGCTGGAAAAACATGTCTGGAAGGTTTAGTACTCTTCCTTGCCACCCATTTTAGCATTTCACTGCTTTCAAATTGGGTTTATTTATTATATTCACAGAATCACAGAATTGTAGGGGTTGGAAAGGACCTCCAGAGATCATCAAGTCCAACCCCCCTGCCAAAGCAGGTTCCTTACGCCAGGTTGCACCAGTAGGTGCCCAGGCAGGTCTTGAATGTCTCCAGAGAAGGGGACTCCACCACCTCCCTGTGCAGCCTGTTCCAGTGCTCCGTCACCTCACTGTAAAGAAGTTCTTGCGCACATTTGTGCAGAACTTCCTGTGCTGCAGTTTCTGGCCATTTCCCCTTGTCCTGTCTCCACTCACCACTGAAAACAGTCTGGCCTCGCCATTCTGCCCCCCACACCTCAGATATTTATAGACCTGGATCAGATCCCCTCTCAGTCTTCTTTTCTCAAGGCTGAACAGACCCAGTTCACTCAGCCTTTCCTCATAGGAGAGATGCTCCAGGCCCTTCACCATCTTTGTGGCCCTCCGCTGGACTCTTTCCAAGAGATCCCTGTCTTTTTTGTACTGGGGAGCCCAAAACTGGACACAATACTCCAGATGAGGCCTTAACAGGGCACAGTAGAGGAGGAGGATCACCTCCCTCGACCTGCTGGCCACACTCTTTTTAATGCATCCCAGGATGCCATTGGCCTTTTTGGCCACGAGGGCACACTGCTGGCTCATGGCCAACCTGTCGTCCACCAGGACACCCAGGTAAAATTCAATTAAATGTTTTGTTTTCTTCACAGACCAGAACAGTGGCTGAAAAGAAAAATGTGAACAAGCAAGAATTTAACTTCGAAAAAGTAAGTCACTAGCACCTACCTAATCTCAGTGCTTCATTGTGCAGGTGTGCATGTATTTATATGCTTGGGAAAGCTGCAGTGAAATTACTGAGAAGCATTGCTGGAAAAGTTTGTCTTTTGCAGGTGAGGATTTCCTAATGTGTAATTTTGGTGTAATGTGCTGTGCTGGAGGAGGAGCGAGTTAGAGAACGTACTGTGGCTCCTTGGCTTTTCTTTCTGATCTTTCACTGATAAATCAAGGAAGTTCACTGCATGTTAGCTGTGTAAAGCTATGTGAGTACCCATAATGTGTTGCATATGTTATTTTAGGCCTATGTTGTTAGTTATGAATTTTTGATCTCATATGGGGAAAGAAAAAAAAAAAGTGCTTCTCACTAGTTAATGGCTTTACAGCCAAGGAATTGGAATGCTCTGTAAATGCTAGATCTTGTGAGTAGCATGCTGTATTGCTTTGGTGTGTACAGCACAACACAACTCACTTTTCTGCAAAGCACCTCCTTCCCAAGTATCCAGTTTTATGTGAAATGAACAGAAACAGTTACTGACCCTCTGTTAGTCCTCACTGTCCAGAGATTAGATGAACAGTGGTCAACTGTTCTGCAGTATAGTACAGAACTCCATTTCCATTATTTTATAGCATACTGAATTCAGATATTAGCTAAGGTGTCTCTGGGAATATGACTTCGCTGTGGTCTGTCAAGGGTTATTTTACAACAGACTGGACAACTACAAAATGCTTGCAATTTTCTGTAATGTTTTAGGCTCGTTTGGAAGTGCACAGGTTTGGAATCACTGGCTATGAGAAGCAGGAACAGCGTCTATGGGAACGGGAACGTGCAATCATGCTGGGAGCCAAGGTAATTCTTGCTCATTTTGTGCTGGGAGGTGACCCAACTGTTACAATGCAGGGAAAGTGTAAGAAACACTGAGGTTTTGGTATCACTTCTTTAAAACACAAGATGCCATTCTCCACCCCTTCTTTCACCTCATGTTTACTTTTACATTTTCTGTCCAGTCTGGTCAGTTTTCTGTAAACATCTGGAAAATTAATATTTTTGTGTTCTCAGAGATATTTAGGTGAAATAGGACTGATTGGGGTGGAAAACAACATTTACTGATTATTTTACAGACCTTTCAAAACTGAACAGCTAAGAGGATAGACTTGCTTTTATAAAGATCCATTTTCCCAGTGATTTGACAATTAAGAATTTTTCAGTTTTGTTTATCACCAGCAGTATAAAAGGGGGAAAATATAGTTTTTCTAAGTCTTCTTTGATGATGGGGAGGAGGGTATGAACTTTCCAGGTGTGGTGTTATTTTGGAAACCTTGTAGATCTGTTACACAATATAAACATCTTTCCCACCAAGAAATACATTTTTATCATGTATCTGCTTTACAGTCCTTAAGTCCCTTTCCTCTCATCCTAAGGAAAATAAACTATTACTTCTGCTTACCCACCACTTGAAAAATAATTTCAATGCAAGTATGTGAATATTTCTGAATCTATTTGAAAATTTCAGCAGAGGTATCACTCCCAATCTTTATTACAGCCTCCCAAAAAGGAACACATCAACTACAAGAAATACCAGGAGAAAATGAAGGTGAAGAAAACAACAAAGGATGATGATAAGGGACAGGTTTGTGTGACATTTTGTCTATAAAAAGTCAACATGTAAGATCTAGCCCAAAAGCCCAATAATGCCTCAGGCACAGGAGGAGTGCCTGAGTTTGACACCTGCTGCTCTCATGAGGTGAGCTTGACTCCAGCACAACTCATCTCACCAGTCAGAGCTTTTCATGTGCAGTAGGAAGGGTACAGAATTCAAACTGTGCTGTGGTGGGTTTCAGTGCCCTATCTGTCGAGGATGGTAGATTGATGATGCAAAATAAGCAGTTTTTCTGTGTTTTGGTTTTTGGTTGGTCTCCAATTAATGTTTGTTGCATTTTATCTAACCACAGGAAGCCAGATGTTCAGCTGGTTTTATATCAGTGCAATTCCATCTAGGATCTTGCTCATTATTTAAAGCGAGGGTGAGGTTTGTGTTGCATCCATCCTCTAGCATGGTCCATCTGGCCCCAAGCCTGTTCCCTGCCTGTGCTGTGGGTGGGAGCAGGCTGCCAGGCAGGTTTCTGCTCCACCAACTTGTCTTTTGCCACCTTCTTTTTCAGGGGACCTATTTCTCCTTTATCACGTGGCTTAAAGCACACCCAGCTTATGACCAAACACTGGCAAACCCTGTCATCTGACAGTGTGCTCAGTCAGGCAGCTAGATGTACTTGCCTGCTACTAAGTAGATGTTTTGACTCAAGGATCTATCTTGTACCCCTTGTGTCGCTGGATTTGTGTGCCCTTACGTGGCAGGGGTAGCATTTTGGTCGTGGGTGGTCTGTGCTTTCCACAAGGTGACAGGAAGAGCTCTGGGCATAGTGCCCTGTGAGGCATTGCATCATTTGTCCTATCAAAAGGTATCCCAACCTGTTTTCATGCATCTGGTTCAGTGAAGCAAAAACAACTGGATATTGTGTGTTCAGGGGGGGTGGTTAGCCAAAAAAACCTGTTCCTTTGCCATTAAAATAGGCATCTTTAAACACAGGTACAAAAAGGTGATTCTCTGAAGAAGAAGAAGAAGAAAAAAGACTTGAAGGAGAGGTGAGAAATTTTTAATGCTGTTATGTTTCTTTGATATAGTCTTGCTGGTGTATTATCCCTACGTAACCATGTGTAACAATTTAATACCATATGTGAATTTTTCAAACTGCAGAATTCTCGTTACAAAATGGTGACTTTGTTCCATGTTTAGCAGTTTCAGAGGCTTTAGTTATGCAGCCTCAGTGAAAAGATGTCAGTTCTGCCCTGGCCTGTTTAAGATGACAGCTAGGATGGATGGAAATCCCTGTGTGGGGAGCCAGGATGTGACATTTGCTCAGAGCATTTGCCCTGAGAAACAACTTTTGCAAAACAACGAGGTACAGCAAATAGAGGCTTGAAAAGTACAGTGACATTCTTAATTATAGTGTAGCAGGCTAGCTGAAATGTGAGACTCTTTATCTTCTTTATCTGAAAATCTTTGTTTTCAAATGTTTCTTTTAATGTAGTTCATTCTGTAATGTGCTGCAAGTTTTGACCAGTAACACAGGTAATAAATGTTTTGGGACCAATACATGCTATAATTTGGTATTCCATAATATGAATGCTGACTGCATAAATAGGTGATAGTTTTCAATGTATTGAATGTTTTAATGAGTTTCTGGTGTTTCTCTTGATTCATTTTCCTTCGTTACTATTTCAGAAAGGCCAAAAGGAAGAGATCGGTGCCCAGCATTTGGCCTGCAGGACAAGTTGGAAAATTCAGAGATGGGACCTTGATTCTACAAAGCGGTGACATAAAGAAAATTAAATCAACTAAAGTTATCAAATGAACTTATGATACCAAATGAAATGGATGAAAAGCATTAAAACAGAACTCCTGTTGCCACCAGAAGAGACTTACATAAGCCTTGCCCTGCCACCATGTCCTAATTCATTTACCTTATTTTTTCTTGCAGGGTTTTCTATCTCTTATTCTTGGGAGAATATGACAATTTACCATGTTATAAATAAAAGAAAGACTTTTTGATAATTAAGAAGGTTACATGGGTTGTTTTTATATGTGCTAAAGAAAGTGCTTTACTTTCTAGAATTAACTTATTGGTGCTAAGTGAAAAATTAATCCACCTAGTGAATTATATATTAAAATGTATAGCTCTTTGCTTTCATCTGGAAGAAATATGGCAAAAGCTGTACCTTATTTTCTCTTAACCTGAAGTAGGTGTTCTATGTCAGGCATACATCTTTTCTGTGTTTATCTGAGTTGTTAGTGGAGAGTGGAACTACAAAACAGTTTTCATGCCCAGCAAAGCCTTTTAAAGTTTCAGAATTATCTTCTCAAGAATGAAAAATGAGATTCTTCTGAAGGTAAGAGTTAGAGGCTGAACTTGTATGTCTACAGAGAACACCAAATAAGTAGTTTCAGATGGTTATTGTGGGGGTGATCATGATGTAAGACAGTATACAAAAACAGGCAATGTTCAAGACCTGAGCTGAATGCCAGATGAGGTACAGACATCCAGTAGCTACACATTGTTCATGGTTAACTTGTTTGTCATTTAACAGTTAACCTACTGATAAAAGCAAAGGAAAGAAGTTCATGCTTTGTTTTTTTTATATTTAAGGTTATTGAGCAGTTGTGGCAATGAAGCAGATATACATGAGAAAGAAAATAGCCATTATTGGAGATGCTTCTTTAAATGTACAAGTGAAATTCAGCTTACCTATGAGGATTTGAAAACATGCTTCCTAGCTGCCTCGTGGGAACCTGAATAAGCTGATCTCTAACCTCAGTGAACAGTGAAGTCTGAGCCAGCTTGCAGCTAGCAATGAGAACAGCAACACCAGAAGCTGCTCCCTTCCCAGGATAAGAAATTATCTTGATGTGGGGGAACTACAGCACAGGATGGAATACTTTCTCACACGATCTTTCCCCTGTACCTTTCACCTTACTTTCAAGTCTTGGAGAAGCACTGTGCCAATACTCAAAGGGACTCAAAGGGAGGGAGCCCAGAGGAAAACAGTGAGGTAAAAAGAGGAAGGGAGTGTTTCTGCACGCTCTTCCCACATGGCTCTAAGCTGGATTGCTAAACGCTGTTATCACACTTTGTAATTGCTTAATCAGCATTGGTTGCAAATTCGCACTGGAATTAACAATCCTAACTAGTTACTGAATATGCAGACTTAAGAAATGTCAAATCATGATTGCATGTGACGGTGTAATCATCAAGCCCAATTGTGTAGAGAGCATCAAAACTTGCTGAGGCAATAGATGAGCTTTGGATGTTATGGAATAACCTGTATCTTTTAATTCCTGGTTGATCCTTGAGTTTGGTGTTTGTTTATTTTTAATGCTCTCTTCTACATGAAATTCTGTTCATCTGGATTTGGGTATTATGTGCTGTGGGAGTTCATCCTCACTCAGCCTAGGTAATTTAAAGGGTTAAGTTCTTTTCCCACCTCCACAACTGCCAAAATGTTTCTGGGAGTGAAACTTGGTCTAAAGGAGGCATCTGAATTTTGCAGTCCTGGTGTCAAGTTTTAAAAGACCAGAAAAAGAGTTAGAGTTGAATGAAATTCAGTTCTTAAAATAAAAAGAAGAAAATTGGAATGCTAATTTGACAGTGAAACAAAAAACTTGGAAAAATTAAAAGCTTATTCAAGAAGCTACAGTTTCTCACACCTGTAATGTTGGTGTGTATGTTTTTTTGTTATGTGGTGTTGTGTCTTTTTAACATCAAATCATTGAGGTGATTTCAGTTAGCCGTACTACATACTTGCAGGATCATGTTCTCAGTAAAATATGATAGCTTTAGCCCAGTTTTGTAACTGGACACATTAACAAAAAATTATAATGACTAACAAAAATTATAATGACTGCAATTTGGCTAACAACTGTTGAGAAACATTTATGCATTTACTGTTTCTCTGAACTAGAATGTGTTATTAATTAACAGAGTATGAAAGTGTGTGTTCAACCAGCAAACAGTTGTTTTGGAGACATATGCTGATGCATGAAACCAGTATTGACAAAATAACTGATTCATTATAGGTAAGGGGAAGCAGGGACCATTTATTTTTGCGTCCTGTCTGCAGTCAAGTAGCAGAATGAGGGAGAAAAGGAGATCTCTTTAAATGTTTCTTATCTGTGCTTTCTCATGCCTCTTTCTGTGTTTTCTCATGCCTCTAACTGCGCTAAGCTTTATTACTGTTTCCCCATATGCTGAAGCCATTGATTTTATTTATTTATTTATTTATTTTCCCCTCCCAATAGAAGTCTATGCAGTGAAGGAGCTGATGCCAAGTTGTCTCTTGCTTAAAAACACCCTATCACCATGATGGATGATGTTTTTGTATGCTTATCTTTGATTACTGCCAATTGTTTGGTTTGGATGGGCCTCTGTTCTTTCCCTAGCACTGCTCCCAGTGTGTTACTGTGCTTTCTTCTTTATCAACAAGCATTCATTGGGTTGCTTAGCTTAAATGCGCTTTTTTTGGAGCCGTGCTCGGTCCCTCTCGACGCATCTGCTTGATGATGGTTTGCAGCATCAGCAGTACATGTAATTTTAAACTGTTATGAAGTTTTACCTTTTCTGTCTTGTATTCTTACCTCATGGCCCTAAGGAACATGCGAGTCAGAGCTAATGGAGCGGTGTTAAGAGAGAGGTGTTTGAATCTGGCATATGTGTAAAGGTGAGACATGGATGGTTTATCTCGACAGGCTGGAGGGCTGGGCTCGGGTGAACCTAATGAGGTTCAACACGGCAAAGTGCAAGGTTTTGCATTTGGGCCGGAAGAACCCCAGGCACCCGTACAGGCTGGGAGGAGTGGTCCTTGAGAGCAGCTCGGCAGAGAAGGACCTGGGGGTCCTGATGGACGAGAGACTGAACATGAGCCAGCAGTGCGCTCTGGCAGCTCGAAAGGCAAATGGGATCCTGGGCTCCATCAGGAGAGGGGTGGTCAGCAGGGACAGGGAGGTGATCGTCCCTCTCTACTCGGCTCTTGTGAGGCCCCATCTGGAGTACTGTGTCCAGGTGTGGAGCCCTCAGTACAAGAAAGACATTGAGATTTTGGAAAGGGTCCAGAGGAGGGCGACTAAGATGATCAGGGGGGCTGGAGCACCTCCCCTATGAGGACAGGCTGAGGGAGTTGGGCTTGTTCAGCCTGGAGAAGAGAAGGCTGCGGGGTGACCTCATTGCAGCCTATCAATACCTGAAGGGAACCTACACCCAGGAGGGGAGTAAACTCTTCAAAAGGGCTGACAACAGCAGGACTAGGGGAAATGGATCCAAGTTGAAGGAGGGAAGATTTAGGTTGGATGTTAGGGGGAAGTTCTTTACAAGGAGAGTGGTTAGGCCCTGGAACGGGCTGCCCAGGGAGGTTGTGGATGCCCCGACCTTGGATGTGTTTAAGGCCAGGTTGGACGGGGTCCTGGGCAACCTGATCTGAATGTGTGTGTTTGGTGGCCCTGCTAGGCAGGGGGGTTGGAACTACATGATCCTCGAGGTCCCTTCCAACCCGGGTGATTCTGTGATTCTGTGTTTATCTGAGTAAGAGACTGGCTTTCTCTGAATTGCTCTTGGCTGTGGTAATGAAGTAGGTATCAGCAGTTTGGTACGTGTCCTGCACGAGTGCCACATCCACACAAGACAGCTTACTCAGTAATAACGAACAGAGTACTGATGTTGGATTTGTTGGCAATGTTTTAAGAATTTATTTAGAAATTGTAAAATGGCATAAACTCATACGTCAGGTTTTTCCAAAAGAGTAATAATAATAATACACAAAGTTTTAGTCAGACCAAAAGACAAAAAGCAGTTTGTTTCCAATTCAAAAAATACAAACTTTGCTACAGATACAAAATTATAAAAAGTTTATATTTTCCTCTCGATCTGGTGACAGACACATACAGAAGAGATGTATATTTCACCAGTTCCAAATTCATATAAGCTGTGGGAGATGATGCTGAAGAAAAGAACATCATGGTTAAAAGAAAACAGAAACAACTTCTCGTCTTTCACTTAACCAGAAGTGAACACCGTTATGTTATTCCTTTGCACGTTTTTTGGTTGCCAACATTTAAATCAGTGTTATTCATGCTTCATATAACAATCAGAAATAACAGCAGTTTTACCTCATGCATTTATTTTAATATTCATCACATAATATCTTCTCACCATGCTACCTAGAAAGGTCAGTGTTTTTATTGACAACATTTAAGGGAGGTGGTATCAGCAATCATGATGAAAGGATGCAATCCGGATCCATAAATATTTATATCTACTGATTTAAGGAAAAATAATAGAAATCTTCCAATTGGGGGGAAAAAGTGATATTCTGCTTGTATTTGCTTCCAATAACAAACAGAACAAAAGGAAGGTTGCTTGGCAGAAGGGGAACGTGGTGCTGAGTACCTATTGCAGTCAGTGCACATCTGTCTCCCGTATTGTGCAAAGCTGCAGAAGCCCCACACATTTAGTTTGTGTGGCTTGCATATGGGCTTCTGCACATAAGAAGACTGAGTGCTTCTTAACCATGATGGGTTTGTGCTTCAAGCTGCCACTCCAGCCACCTGCATGTGCACAGTATTCAGTACTACAAGATAATCACCAGAAATGTTGTCAGTAAAAACTACAAGCAGCTCGCTTCAAAGAAAAAGGAGGAAAAAAAAAGAAAAAAAGAAAAAAAACCCTCAAAAATGAAAAGTTACTAAGATGATCTTTGTTTGGTAATTGTCGTGACAAGTGCTGTTTGCATTTGTGATGCATTTGTTGCAATAACCTGTTGGTGGACTTGTAACTGTAATCTCCTTTGCAAAGCTGAGCTAGCCAAGATACTTGGGTTTTCGTATTATTTTGCCTGGTTCAAAGGTTAATTGTTTCCTATGCTATTTAAGCAGAATGCTACAAAGCTGGTAAAGCCTGAGATTAGGTTTAACAACTGTATTTCCTTGTCATTCCCTTTGTGAACAGAAGATGTACTTGATGGCTGTTAGCAGGTTGCTGTGCTCTTCATCCCTTCTAACAGGGACAGGTTGTCTTATTTATGGTCCAGAATGCACCACCTCATTGGCAATCACAGACAGTGTTTTTCCATGTGGTGGTAGAGGCAGCTTAGCCTTGACCTTCTCATTCTTACCTCTTTTATAAATATTATCATGTAAGAAAGGAGAACAAAAACTGCGTATCACATTTCTTTTTGCTCTAGAACAACTAGGAAAGTAGAGGACTGGGTGCTCTCTGCCATCTTTACTAATTACACTTTGAAGAAAAGAAAAATTAGAAAAACAGACTTCTACAGCACTATGACAGAACTCTACCACCAGCCAAGAACAAACTACAGCAATACACTTTAATGGCTTTATTTACAACACAATGGAACATTATGCATATAATAAATCACATTTGATACTTTTCCTCTTAAGTTCTTGTATATGTAACCTTGTGCTTTTTTTTTTTTTTTTTTTTTTTTTTTTTTTCATTTTAGTCCAATGTATTTCACTGTGTCTCAACTACGTAGCAAGTATGGGACATGACTGAGCTGTCTCCCTGTCTTCTTTGTTTTAGAAGCCAAATTGCTTTCCAAATTAAAGATACATCACAGTTTCCTACTATCCTCACTGACATTTGTTTTACAGTGCACACCTTCCAATCTCAGAAGAAGTAAGGGAGTGTCACCTAGGCCTGTGCCCATATTGACATTACTTCTCTGTAAAAATATCTTTGTGGTAGTTTATTTGTGTTGATGAGGGAAACACAAGTGTAGGCAATGGTACAGCACTGCACGCCCTGGGAGTCTGACAATACCCCTGATGGCACAGTTCTTCTATTTGGTCCCACTGAACTCAACAGGGAAATCTGCAGAGGAAAGAGCTGGGACAAGGATTCACAAAGGATGATATTTGGGTTCACATGGATAGATGAAAACTAAGCATCCCTCATTGTCCTGCAGGATAGAAAGTTTGCTTACTGTACTTACTTAGACAGAGGCAGATGCTCCAAACTGACATATGCAGAAGTCAAGCTTCATTGTGCTTAGTAGAACAAGACTTTTTTAAACATTAGGTTTACAGGTGCCTCACATGGACTCTGCGCCATGTGGGGCAAGATTCATCCCAGCTCAGAAGGCTCTATTCTCCTGTTTACAAGGATCAGCCTGTGCTCCAGGGGCAGATGCGTCCCATGAAAGGCATCTCTGTGCTTACCTAGGTGACTGGGAAGCAGTCTGAATAGTTAGTAACACAATTTCTGCAAGGAACATACTACTAAAGGCTGGCTCCCTTCTAAAGAAGAGATTTGGAGGAAACAAAAGCTGGCAGAAGTGATGCTGTAGATGAAGAACATGCAGACAGCTGGGCTTATAACCAAATGGGAGAGTTAACTTGCAGAGAAACAAGCTATCTCCAGCCTGAGCAGAGAGGTGAAAGTAAGTGCCACACTTCTCCCCACCCAATGCTATTCTGTAAAAGGAAAGTTCTGCTCTGGTCTGTGTTTAGAGTGGTTTATGTAAAGTTCTGCTGCCACCTGGATGCTCTGCATAAGTACACATAGAGTAACGGGTTTCCTAGCAGAATTCTAACTACTTAAGCATTTACTCTGTTACACTACTACTAAAACTGATCCAGCTGAAGTCATGAGACTGTGCTCTATGGGGTTACTTGGCTTATTGCTATGGATCATGCCAAATCCAAGTCCTTGAATGTGTACACAACCAACATATAGTCAATTTTGTTTAGATGCAGACCTGGTGTTGCTAATGCAGGATACCTACTTTTAACTGTATTCCTTTTATTTTATTTGCATCTCCACTAGGTTACAAAGAGACTATAATGGCAGTTACTTATTCTGTACCTCACACGTATCTGTGCAGGTGTTAGAATAATAAATGAGCTTCTCTATGCTTCTCTACAGATCTGAAGTATGTCCCCACCTAGTGTCCTTGTTTGCATTAAAACACAGTAACCTGTATCACTCGCTGCATTCTCCCCAAGGTACAACACTAGGAACCGATACCAAAGCATCTATGATAACCAAAACCAAGTACTGCAAACACTTCTAAAACCCATTCTGAATTAATTTTAAATGCCTGGCGGTGCGTGAAGAGTGGAAAGATCTAAATTCATTTGAATTTCTTTCACAGAATTTGGTAGTAAAGACAGAGGTTCAGTCCCAAAGCAAACAACACCTGGTTGCTTTTAATAAGAAAAGTGAAAGGGGAGTGTCTATTAAAATTATCACAGGATGTTTCCCAATATAAAAATCTATGTGCAGCCTACGTACAGTATTCCCACACACTGCTCTGACTGGCAATAATTGAAGCCAATGCTGTGATTACAGCTCTTGTGTTCACTGAAGGCAGGTTTGCAATGAGCACACTCAGGAAGAAGTCTGGGGTCCAGGAGCATTTGAGCCGAGGTAGGTTAAAGCAGACCCACTAAATTAGAAAATCGTGCATGAGTTCACATGGCATTAAATGAAACTGAAAATTAAAACTCAGTTGGTTTTTGCTATTCTTTAAGAAATGAAGATGAGTGTAGCACAGTTATGTCTAAAACTTTACTAATACAATCCATGTCAGAGTGAAGAAAGTATAATGGTACAGTTGCTTTCCCACTTAACAGCTAAGGTTATATTTTCCTGCTGTTGGTTTTGTTTCCTATTTCAGTCTTGACATTACTAGAGGTGCACAGCTGTTCTGCAGGAGAGGTGGCCATGAGATATCTGCCAGGTATGGGCACTGGTGACGGGCTGTGATTCACCTGTGAAATCGCCTGTAACTACTGCAGAATGGGTTGCCTTTCCCTCTCTGCAGTGGCTGCAAAGAGGATGCTGCCAGTGAGGTGCTGGCTGCTGTGTCTCAGTGCAGCCCTCTGTGCCACCTGAGCCATGTGTCTGAGACTGAATGCACACCTGCAGCTGGCTGCTCTGAGAGAGGCCTGAGCTGATGATCCTGTGGCCATAGCATAATGTGAGGCAGTAAGCTGCATTGCTATTAGAGCACACTTTTTCAGGCTTCATACCTGCTTGGCTGAGAACAATATGCATGTGCGTATATGTATGCTTGGGTAGGAAAATCTGTACAAGAAGCATTAAACAGAGGGTTTAGTACATCACTAGGATGTAAGAGTTGGTGCTTTTCATGTCTGATATCACCACGCTTACGTAGGATTGAAATAACAAAGCCCAGAATGTCATGGACACACACAGTCTGCTGCATCTTGTTCTTATGCATCACCTCTATACACACAGTTGCATATCTTAACTTGTTTCAGAAGAAAAGAAACACACACAAATCAATGTGTTTTTGGACACCAGCATGCAGGTGAGAGCTCTGTTCTGTGCTGGGAACTTCTGTGGTGGTCAGATTCATGTTGTCATGGACAGGACCTGACACGGCCTCTTGCTTTCACGGGATATGCAAGATACATCCAAGTCTTGAAAGGATTTATGTCCCATTCCAGAAAAATTCTTAAAAATTGATTTAGCATTTATCTCATAAATCTCTCCTGTTTAAATGCTTCATGGAGACCAAGACATTAGTTACATGATCATAATCTAATAGAAAATTAAGGCTTTTGATCTCAAAGCTACATTGGAACTACAGCTGTGTAGGACTTAGTGGGATCAAGGCTGGAAAGCAGTATTTCTCTATGTGGGATACTTTGCACGTACCATATTTAAATAAAACTCTTATTAGTTAAATTAAAAAAGATTCCTCTTGCTTCATTTTTCAAGTGATGTGCTGATAATCATCAATGGATTTCTCTATGAGTAGTCCACACAGTCACAGTTAAGTAAGATACATGAAAATGTATCAGAAATATTTTCCTCTCCACTTTTCATATCTGAATTCTGCACATACCATGCTGTAAGCTCAAATAAGCACAACTATTACACAACAGCATCTGGAAACTGTTCTTGTTCTTGTTGAAGATAAGTGCAAGTTCTGCCACTGAACTTGAGGGGAATGTAGTGCAGAGCTTATGGCGATTTGGAGCCAGAAGGAATAGTTAAGTGTTATTTGAGCCCCTGGATGTAACAGATAACAGAATCTTGCCTGTGAATTCTTTAACTGAGCACACAGCTTCCACTTCAGCTGCCAGAACACATGCTGTCTTCAATTAAGGACTGCAGGTGGCAAAGGAATCTCGTTCACCAACTGGTAAATTGTTCCAGCAGCCATTGTTCCCCAGTTCCCCTTGCCTGTGTTTTCCAGCATGCACAATATCTTTTGAGCACAAATCCCAGCCACAAGAGAGAAAATAAACTCATTTAACTTCTCACCTTATAAATATATACATGTGTATGCGTGTGTGAGCACATGAGTGCAGTGCAGATATGTTCAGGTACCCATCTGTAATCCAGTGCCAGTTCTGTGGGTATGCTTGCTATGGCTTGTTAAACTAAAGATGGAGTGGGCTAGTTGTAACCAGCAGAGTGCTCAGTGAGCAATGGTGTAGAACATTCCACATTAGGGAAGAGAGTGCTTTTTTACTGACTTACTGAAATGTGCCAAATCACACTGAGACAGCTTACAGAATCCAGCACAGGGTCAGGCAGGAGTGTCATTAGTTGCTGGGCAACTTTGGCTGCTTTACACATTGGGGAACCTCCAGTCCTGTGTGCAGTGTCACCTACATAAAAAAGAAATAACACCAACTATCAAAACTGGAACATCTCCAGCAGAAAGCATTTGTGAAGGCCCAGAGTAAGCAAATGACAAGAGTGGGGCTGTGGAGCTTCTGATCCAAGATTAAGTAGTTAACTATATTTATGGGATGATACTGAGCCCCTAAAATCACCAGGAACCCCTCTGTGCTGAGCACCTTGGGGCCTAGAAGCCAAGTGCCAACAGTTCTTCCTAAAGTAAGCCACTATTTCTAGAATTCCAACAGTACTCCCAAGCCCAAGGTGGTCAGAATTTTTGTGTGAGGGACTCTAGAGTAGTTCAGGAAAACAATGACACTGTTGAAACAATGTACTGAATATATAAAAAATCCTTTCTTCCTTGTTCTGGCAGGGCAGAGCACAGTTCCTTCTACAATATGACAATATTTCTACAAGTTCAGAGTTCCCACACAGACATTTCAGAGCACCATTCAACAGCAAGTCGAATTCATAGCTTCCTCCTCACACCTTGTTGGCCATGCCTTGTTTTATTTTGGTCATAGAAAGAACTTTTGCCAGCTGCTTACAAGATGTAGGTATTAAAGGCAAGCTGCAATTGAAAACCATTATTGAAAATAGCAGGGAAGTGCCTGTGTCTTCTACTTTTGTGCATCAAATACAATAAAACTATGAAACTTTCCTGAAAGATTTAGATGCCACCGTCTTCAGGCTTCTGGCTCTTTCCACAGGTAAAGGCTCTGGCTCTCCATAGAACAATAAATGTTGGAAAAGACCATTAAGATCATCCACTCCAACTGTCAGCCCACCCCCTCCATACCCACTAACCATATCCCTCAATGCTACACCTCTTGTTGCATTACCTCCTGTTTCAGCCATATGACATGGTTTTGAAGTTAAAAAAACATAATATTTGAAGTGTTTCTCCAAGAGGAGATCCTCTTGAGAACAGAGCAGTCTCTGAACTTCACCAGTGATGTGCTGACTGAGTCTTCTCTGCTGGACTAATCCCCTGACCTATGCTGACTTTGCTCAACTAACTGCTATGCTGCTGGATTTCTGTCTGTTGCCAATGCTAATTATCTCTCAACGTAAGATCTAAGAGGAATTCACATCCTTGTGTTGTTTTTGTCAAACTGGCAGAGGAAGCCTTAGCACTGCTGCTTTCTAAGTGGAGCATTGCAGCAGAATGATGAAGGCATGCAGGCATGTTGACTTGTTTTTATAACACTACCCTTTGCATCTGTGAGGCAAGACAGAAGGCTGAAATCAGTTTTCAAGAAAGCATTAGTAGCCTGGATGTCTGACAAGGAAAGAGCCAATATCCACACTGACTACCTGCCTATGATGCTATCAGTCACAGCAGAAATGGCTAGGGGTACATAGCCCCCTTTACCTGAACAGTTTAGGTTGCATTGAACTATAGAAGACTTACCTGAACGTTTCGGTTGAGGCTTAGTGCAGGCATGAAGACACCCTCTATGTTTTCAAAAGCTGGAGGCCCTTGTTGCTGCCCATTTATGTAGAAAGTCAGGCTGTGCTTATTTAGATCCAGGAGGACACCAACAGTGGCACCTTTGGAAACTCCTCCTTCTGTCCTGAAGTACAAATGCACACAAAGAGGTTTAATGTAGACAGAGTGCTGCACCACTGCTGTTCCCTCTAAGACATGCAGTCTCAAAAAACAAGGGAAGAATGGAGCAGCACAGCACAGTGCTTATCCCCACTGCACTTTGACTGTGACCATGCCACACCTTTACCCAAAAGAGATGTTCATCAGAGCTTAAAAGGGGTGTCATAAAGAGAAATGATGTCCATCTCTCCTCCAGCTGTAAGCTAAGAGATGATAATGGCGCCCAAATCCCCTAGGCTGACAAGAAATGGGCAGGTGAGTAGATCAGTCCATTGCTCAGTGTGCAAGGCAGGACTTCTGGAGGCAGAGTTCCTGAGAGTGCCCCTGCTGTAGAATACTGTTGCACAGCAGAAAATGTAAAAGCAGAACGCTAGTGTCCTTGGCACTCATTTGAATCACTCTACCTGCTGGCAGCTAGAAGCTTATCTTGGCAGTCTCTAAGGGGACCTGATTTTCCAGGGTCTGGGGGGCCCACATAGGTCCATAGGCAGTGGTTTTGGGAAGGAAGGGAAGGTAGGGCAGATTAGGGACAAGCACAGGTCCATGACCAAGCTCCTTCAAGAGCTGGGGCACAGCTATTAACATTGGTGCTAATTGGCTGTGTCAGGAGCAGCTGCTGAGAGCTACCATGGTGTCAGAGCTTGCCAGGGCAGACCCAGCCATTACATGCATGAACGATTTGACACTAACGCACTTTGATTCGGGGGTTAGTCAAATCCAATAGCGCTTTAAAGAGCGTTGAGCAAGAAATCTGCTACATATGCAGATTGGCCACAGGCACCACTGCTTCACTAATGTCACAGGGGCTATGCGATGGATTTACAGCCTGACACAATTTGTTCAGGCTAAATCAGATTTCAAATCATTTGCATCAGGAAAGGAAGTGACTGTCTTTTCTATCACAAGCTGCCCTGGGCACATGAAATTCACAAGATAAATGCAGTTTTAACAAAAGATTTATTGTAAGAGTTGGCATATATATAAAAAAAATTCAAATGCAACTAGAAACATGGCGCAGGGTAAGACATTTTCATCGTGTCCACTAGGTGTCATAAACGGGTTTCCTTCAAACTACATGTGGCATATGATATTTCCTTTAAAGGTAACAGGAGCTTTATCCATGACAGTGATGGCAATAGTGTGCTGACATCTCCACTTAAAGCTCTTCACACAATAACAAAACAGTTGAGAATCACCATTTAAGTTTTCAGATATGTAAGACGTATAACTATGCAGTTCTGAGCTCCCTTAAATTTATTCCTGGTACTATAAGCATTAATACGCTTGTCCTTGTGCTCCTCTCCACAACTGTAAACATACTATTTTCCAACAAAAGTTAGGACATTTGCCCATCCTCAGGATCTTAGTATATAGGATGTTTGTATTGAATGCATCATAAAATTCATAATGGTTCTGTGGGTGGTGGCAGCACCACAATTCAGAACTACCTACATGTGGGTTACATTATTTTTTTTCTCCAGTGGGGAACAGCTCTGATTGTAGTGCACCACGTTTTATATCAAGCAGTGTTTTAAACCAGATTTTATGACATCTTTCTAAATGGCATTGGTTCTCTTGGGGAAACAGCTTTGCCTTTTTGAGATGACGATGCTCTTTCCAATATAATAAACTAATTTGCTTCTAGTGGGCTAATTAGTCGTGTGCTACACAGTGACATTGAGTGACTTCTCTGCAGTCCACAGGGAATGCCGTGCTGGAGAGGAGCTGCTGCTGGCAGGGCACACGGCCCAGCCTGTGTCAGCACCTCCAAGAGCTGAGTCCTTTCTGCAATGCCTTTTTAAACTGATAATGATCATTGTGCTACAGTCTCCTGACAGCCTGCAGGCTGTGTAAAGGGAAAGCACAGCCACCTGCTACAGTGTTTCTTCAATGACGATCCATTTTTGAAGACAAGCGCCACTCTTTCATTATTCCAAGTAAATCCCAGTTCTCACACAGCTTTTCACACAGTCTGACAAACATTCATCTCTGTGCACAAGGCTCAGTGCTGACTCTGACACTGTGTGGAAGGCTGGAAGGTCTAAGTACGGATACACCAATTTGGCTGCCCTGAAAAGTGCAACTGACTGTTGCAGTGGAGTCTCACCTTCCCAGGATGGTTTCAGCAGCATTTTGGGCAGTTTGCAAAGCTGGACTGAAATGGTTTGGGGAATTAAGAAGAGCAGTAAGTTTCACTATCACTGAAAAATCAATCTTAATATATAAGCACTGTTTAATATGCTGAAGAATTAGTTTAACTCTGCACTAGCAGCATTTATATAGTGAGGTTTGCAGGAACTTTGCTGCATCTACTGTCAAGAACAGTCTTTTTCAGTCAATTGTAACATTTTCGTTTGATGAGAAGTTGGTCTTAAGACCTCCACGATTAGTAAGAAGACTCTCTTCATGCAGGGAGCTTAAAGATTATCTCTAGATTTTGACTTTCCATGTCTTCCAGCATAAAATATAAAACATTCCAGTGCGATTTCAATCACTTTCTTCATGCAGCAATGCAGTGGCTGGACTATTGCCTAAAGCACAGGATACTCCTGCTTTTGGGAACATTATGAGGAACAAGTACTGCCATGAGTGCCTCTGAGCAATGGGCACAGGTCTCTGGTGTGAGCTGGTTACTTCAGGAACAACAAGGCTTAAAGGTGCCTCACAGGGCTACGTCCCTGAGCTGTCTTCTAAACTGGTGTTTGCTCAACCTATTTTCAAAGGTCTCTCTGGGTTTGATAGCATTAGATTCATCTGTTCATGCCTTTTTTTTCTAGCATTGCTGAAGACTGTCAGTTTTTAAGGATGTAGACAGGTCTCATGGTGCATATTGTGAGTGAAAAGAACAGGAAAGTGCTCTAAACCTGGCAGGCCCCATGCCTAGGTCTTTCAAGCTCCACCTCAGTTTATCCCTGAAGCCATTCATTAATTTGTCACTCTAATTTAACTTTGAGCAGATTTGAATGAATGATACGATTACTAAGATATAGTCTCCAATACAGGAGCATCTGAGAGGCTAGAAGTTGGCAAGAAATTTTCTTTGAACTGTGACAGTGTGTTCTCACGCCCTTGTCTCCAGTGGGAAAATGGCGAGGCAGCAACAACTGTTTTCACAAGACTACCACAGCTAACGAGTTAAAAAACTGACCTACTTGACTGCCACAGTTAAAAATATAATGCTTAGACCTAATTTCATTGAAGCGCATGTGATTCCATGAGACTACATGCCCTTTGTCAGTGTATTTCACTTGAAAGAATATTTCATTGGTCTGCTCATTCCTTGGATACGCCTGCAAAATCTCTGGGCTTTCCCCAGTAAAAACAGGGAAGCTGTTGTCAACAGAAAGTACTCTGCTCTCCTGTTTAAGCAGGATGATTGGAAATTCAAAGTATTTCCACTGTTTGTGCTTCTCAGAAGGAAAGATTTTGCTTGGCTCATGTGTTGCTTGTGGGAAGGAGCACATCTGTGACCAAATCAAAAAAATAGGTTTCTGGGACAGCAGCACACACAGTGTTTGCCAGCTTTTTTCCAGAAAGCATAAGCTGTTTCATAGAGCATTAAAATTAACACAGCTTAACATTACTTCCACCCTAAATCAAATCAAATCAAATCAAGATATTAAAGGAACAGAGAAGCTTTGGACACATTCATTATTCTGATGTTATTTTACTCTACGTTTGCTCAGGACATGGTTTCCATATTTACTTAGGACATTATCTAAGGCCTTTGGGGCCAATGAAAATATTCACCTTTACTTCAGATAGCTTTGGGTCCAGTTACAAGGTTCTTCCAACTACTTCAAACAGAAATTACTCTCTTACTCACTTAAAATACAAGTATGTTTTCGAGTATGAGTGACTATTCAACAGGAGACATTACAAGCGGCTTTAGGATGCCATGAATACTGGCATGAACTTCTCTCTCTAAGAAGATAACACAAGCATTTGAGCATTTTAAAAAACACTGCAGACTTCCCTTTTAATTATGTGATATAACAGAAACAATGTCTGAGCTCATGAGTATGGAAAACTTGCAGAGACAGTCATTGGAAAACTAAACCAAAACTGATTCCCAGTCTGCCAAAGACCTGCTGTATATCCCCAGTCAGTCACTTTGTACATCCATCTCCCATCATGGTAAAGTAGGTACACAAAAACACTGTTCCCAAAATACACACAGGATTTAGGATCCTGAATCTCAGCCTTTAGCTGAGATCTTCTCAAGGGCCTCCGTCCCTGTAATACCCAGGTAAGCTTCAACTAGGGCCTGACCCTCCCTCTGGGCACAGAGTGAGCAGTGCATTCTTGCACTGGTGGTACCCCAGGGGCCCTCATGTGAAGCTGATTGTATTTCCTCTACATGGGGCAGCATCCCATCAAGGAAAACAATCAGCACTTCGCAGAGTTAGCTATGCAAGTTCTAAGAGCCATGCCTCCATGTCAGCACAACACTAAATCCATGCTAATGTGCAATGTCCCTGAGGGATTCAGCCCTGGAACCAGCTTCAGCTAGATCTATCCCCACCATTCTGCTGTATGGAGCATGCAGATCCTCTCTTTTAGTCAGGAGACAAAATGGGGTTTGGTAACTATGGTTTGGGGGTATCCCCAAATCCTCCTTTGTCAGTATTGGTTGTCATGGTTGAGACATCTTCCAAAGGTTTTGAACACAATGACTCAGTCGAGGGAGGCAGACACTTCACCCTCACAGCCCTAGTGTCCACATCACACTCAGTCATGGCCTACAGCACAGCACTTAGTCTGCTTTCAGGACTCACAAACACCTACATTTTTGCCAAGCAATCACCAGTGAGTTTGCCTAATGACCCTGTAGCCAAAGGTCTTCCTAAAGAACAGAATGGATCGCATTTCTCCCTGCGTTCTTCCAGCAGTGAAATAAATCCTGCATCTATGACTGCATGGCACTCCTATCTATTGACACTGAGGGTGAGACATGCAACTGTGGGCTTAAACAAAGCAGGGGAGATTCAGTTCAGATCTCAAGAAAAACATGCTAAGAGAGGATAACGTACACAGATACAGATTGCTAGGGGAGAAGATGCCATTGCCATCACTGGTGATTTGTAAGAACAAGTGATGCAGACTTCTGTTAGGAATAAAATAACTCTATTTGGCAAGGAGATGGACTACAGCTTACTGAGATCTCTTCTTCTGATGACAAGCAACAAAAGCAATCAGTAAGGAGAGAAACATGCAGACAGTGCTTACCGGTTGGTGTGAGAATTGCAGTGCATGAACCAGCTGCGGTTGTTGTCAACGTACATAGCCCACGCCTTGTCATCCTTGCCTAGCATCATGTCCTTGACAACATTAATCCTGGCAATGCCAAAGGCTGGATCAGGATGGTTGTCATACCGATCCACGTGCAGTTCCCAGTAATGCACACCCTTGGAGAAGGCGGCCGTGCCAAGGACAACGCGGTCATCGTAACTGCTGCAGGTGGCGGTCTGGTTGTCGTTTGACAGCACAATGTCCCTGTGAGCTGAGGAGGGGTCGAAAGTGAACCATGCCACTGTGTGAGGGAAAAGGAGAGGCAAGATTACAGCAGAATGGGCTGCCACTACCCATCAGCCACTTTATTTCCACTAGGAAAATGAGACTGAGACTTCCTAAAGATCCCATGGCACTGTTGAATAACAAGGAGTTCTTCCTTGTTAAAAAAGGCAGTTACACAAGATTGCTCTGCACTGTGACCCAGCTCAGACTGCCCTTTGGTGAATGAGAGAGAAAGGAAAGAATGCTTCGTGCAATCTGCATAGCCCAGTAATAACTGAAATGTGCCTTTCAGTCCATTCATCTTGAAGGTGCTATGAAGTGTAAATTACTCATGTGTCTTGTGTCATCTGTGCCTGCATATCAGAGTGTAGGTTTTTAAGGAGAGTGACTTTCTGTTCTCACACAGTAAGAAGAAAGTCATTGAAGAAACAAAGCCATTTGCAGATGTGAATTGTTCAGGATTGCCTCTAATGGAAAAGGAGGATCAACGTGTCCACAGTGGTTAGGACAAATTTCATCAGTTTATCAAAGGGGGAAAAAAGAAATCCAACCAGAAAAAGCACTTAAAGTATAAAAGTTTTATACTGGCCTATTTTGGCAACAGCATAAAAGTGCATGTAAGGACAGCTCGTACTTCCCAATTCATTATGGTAGCATTACTGAAGATGAACTTCTGTAATGCCCGCATGGATGTCAACTATAATTACAGAGGAACAAGCATGAATTCCCATCTCTGTCTTATCAAACCTTGCTGTGAAATTGAAGCAGTAAGTGAGGAAAAAAATCCAAAAATTCATGGAGAAGTGGAGGCGGAGTGGCATATAAATATCCAGTGCCTAATGGCCTCCATATGCTAAAACAAATAAAAAACTTAATTAGACCCCAAAAGTAAAATTGCACTTATTTGAAACCTGAAGAGTTACCTACAATGGAAAATTCCCTAAGGTTTAAAGAAACGGGCTACTTGACCATTATCATTACTGGATTTCAGTCTAGGTTATTCCCCCAGAAATGGCAGGCTCAGTGCAGCCCAAGTGCACCACAGAAGCCATCAGAATACATCAGAATACACCCACAGCTGTTTGTGGTATTGGCACTGACACTTGACAACATCAGTCATTCGCATGCAGCTTGGATTCAACATCAAACTCACCGTCTGATGTCTGTAAAATAACTGTCTTGCTGTATGGACCAACTCCAGATGAGTTAAAAGCTTTGACTCTTGCATTATAGGTGCTGTTGAAATGAAGGCCATCGATAGTGCAGAGAGTCTCCTTGCCAACATATACTTCCTAAACACACACACACAAATACAAAACAAAACAAAAAACACAACTGTTCCTTTCTGCCTCATAATCACATTAAGATTTGTAAACATAAATCATAAGTAAATAGCTTATGATGGCTTCAGAGAATGCAGTGTGCATGCTGTTATAACATGAACAGCTACAGAAGTGAAGACAAGAGGTAAGGTCAGCAGTGGAGACACTAAGGTGAAGGTAAAGCTGAGAAGGTACAGCACCTAAAGGGAATATAAAGATATATATATATATATATATATTTAATCCTATTTGCCCATAACTTTTACTTCAAAACATTTACTCCAAAACTGTTTTGGAGAGTAGTCCCAGAACCTTAACCACCATAGCCCTTCTTAATATTTATATAGGACCATAAAAACAGGGAAAGGAGGAATTAAAAAAAAAAAGAGTAAGTACAGTTTCATTCTGTTGGAAAGGCTTCCTCATGCCTGCATTAATATATGATTCTGAAACCTGCTAAGACAGGGCCAGAAGAAGCCAGCCTCCTAAAGGTTAGGACCACATGCATCACCTGATGAAACAGCAATTGGACAGCAGAGATGCAGTAAGAGTCTGCAAGGATTTGTTAAAGAGCAAGCATTGGTGTAATGTGAAATATTGCAGGAGGAGGAAATGCTAGGCAAAATAATGAAGAGGATCAGACAGATGATAGTTTGTGATGACTGTAAGTAGCCTAGAAACCTCACGTTTATTGGAAAATCAAACAAAGTAATAGAATATGAGAGAAAAGGAAACAATTGTGTTTAGGCAGCAGGCTGAAATTATTTCACAAGTATTTATTTAGATGTGAATAATACTAGAAATGTTTTATCTGTGAAGCTGGAATGTGCCACACATCACCCCTAACACCTCATTCATTATGCCACTCTTACCTACTGACTGTGTCAGCAGCTCTCGAACAAAGGAACCTTTTCACATCTCCAGTGGAAGAGACCAGCCTCTTCAAATATATGCCAAATGGTTCTTGGACCAAGGAATCAAGAAATTCCAGAAACACTGCATACTTCTCAAAATGCAGTACCAACACTGCTGTTTTTTCTAATGAGGAGCATCCAAATGAGGTGTCTCTGCTGGCTGTGGATGTAGCAGTCTGGCACAGGAAGGCAACTGAGGGAGGTCAGGCAGGCCAGTTCCAGGCCACTTTCACCTTTAGTAACCTTCAGGGTTCAAGTGGGAAGTCAGTTTACAGCTCCTGGACAAATCACATCCCATGGTTTGGCATGATTTCCCATTTGTGAAGAGAGCAGATGTGCTCTGCAGTAATGATTTCAAGGCACTAGCCTCTAGGGATGGCATTGGTTTAGCATGGTCTTGAAGTAACAGAAGCATGAACAGCAGCAGCAAGCCACAGCACTGCAGACCACTGCTTCCAGCAGGACATGGCTGGCAGAAAGCTGATTGAATTATTTCTGTGGTTTGTTTTTTGGGATGTAGAGGGAGAGGATGGGAGACTGGAAGTATTCAGTACCCTCAGGCATAAGCAAGCAGTCATGGAATCACACCAGAGTTCTGGGAGAATGGCACTTGGGGTGTCCTCCCATACTTACCAATGTCTCTGCAGCATACCCGAGGAACACTTCCCCCAGCCTTGTCTCCCTTCCAGAAAAAATATTTAGCAAACCTATATTTTTTACACAGAAAGCCAATTTAACTCAGAAAAATAGGAAAAACTGAGTTGCACTTCCAGACCAAGAATCTCATCTGTCAGAAGAGGCCACTATGAACAGGCAAGAGGAAGGACCACAAAAAAATCTTTGATATGTGGCATGAGCCACTTTCAGATCTTACAGGCTGGTATGGGATTTTCTGTAGGGGCGTTCTCCAGGAGGGACATGCAGTAGATATGGCAGTGACTTGAAATTCTATCTTTCAAATCCACAAGGCCTCTTTGCCAGTACCCAGGAAAAGTTTCAACCAAGCTTCCTATCACAGCCGGGACTTCTAATGAGCAGAAACCACAACCAAGGCTTTCTACATCTATTTGACGGAAGCAGGGATGCTTTGATAAATTGTACCTTCCCTGGCTCCTCTCACCCTCCTCTCAGACATGAATCTATTTCCTGAGGAAACTTATATACAAAGAAATACAAATAAATGCTGAATTAAATTCTCACTCGAAATTGGCCACCATCTCCATCGTCAAGTTCCAGGATATAACCCTCCACTGGGTTGTGGCTCAAAGGTGGCATCCTCCAGGCCAATGTCACACTGTTGTTTCTGGTGCAACACTTCTCCAGTTGCAGTAGTGGGACGGGTGGCACTGTAACAGGAACTGGGTACAGATTAGTGTAGCTCTGTCCTAGCTCCTCGGTCTGTGCCGGGAGGAGGACCACAATCACTCATTTCTTTCCCTTCATGGGAGTCAATGTTATTATAGAATGATTTGGGTTGGAAGGGATCTTTGATGTAGTCCGACACTTGAAGAGAGCCCTTGAAACAAAGCCCAGTAAAAAATAAATAACAAAATGTCATTATTTAGCTAGACAAACCATTTGGTTGAAATATGTAAATTCAAACATATTTGGAAATAATTCCAGTTGCAATGTTTATCTAACTCTCTAAGTTCAGCTGGCAAAAGGAACATCTGTATCACAGGAGACTGCTTGTAGCTCTGTCCTTTCAGAAATTACAGCTGCAATGCTACCTACAGAAATGTTTTTTTACTGACTGGCATAGGAAAAGCACCAAGGGACTATGGAGAAGCATTTCAAAATAAAAGTAAACAGAATATAACATTCAGCCATGCCCCTGTGAGGAATGAGGCCTCCACCACACTTTCCCTACTATGCACACCTAAACCCTCCCTGTTCATGCCTTGCTGGAAATTATAATGAGAAATATCCATCTCTTAGAGAGATTTGGCACGTCTTGTGCACGATTGAAATCACACAGGATAAGTGGGATAAACGTGACGTACAAACCCTGTCTGTTCTTCTGCCCAAGGCTGAATTTCAGTGCTAAGATCATTTCTTCAGAGCTGCATGACGTCTCGCATGAAGCTGAGTGCTCTGAGCATTCATTGACTGAGCTCTCAACTATGTCAATTTGCTCTTCTTTTATATACTCCACTTGGAGCCTCTAGTTTATTTTCCTCCTCTGCCTGCATGAGAGCTAAGCCCTTGAGCAGTTCCCTTCATCCCATTTAACCCCTGAGTGTAAAAAAAAGGTTTGCTCACTCTTCATGTAACAAACATTGTGGAAAAATAGGGAAAATGCCCCTTATTGCATCAAGGGTCTAACGCTTCACCCCCACATTGGAACTGGGGCAAAAAATCAACATTCCACTAGTGATAAATAATACAGAAGTTACCCTCTGGCATTACCCATCACTGCAGAGAACCCAGGAGGTTGGTAGCCCAACAGAATGAGCGTGGTGTGTTACAAAGGAGCTCTATAAACCAGCTCTTGAAGAATTTTCTGCAGAAAGAGAAGGAAAAAAAAAAGGCAAAAAAGACCCCCATCTTGTTGCTTTTTCTTAGTCTTCAAGAATGATTCAAAGAGTATAATAAATAAATAAACATCTACTTGTTTTTTACACATGAAAAGTTCAGATTTTTCTCTGGAAGGCACTATGAGGTAACATAAATGTGGCATTGTGGGAGCCAAAAAATGGAGGGCAATGAATTCAGAGATAAAGGCTGATTAACTAACCATTTAAATGGTTAGCTAGATGGCTAACTAACTCTCAAGAGACATTGACTGGGTCTCTCCAACTTCCAAATCTTCCTCTGGCAGAACTAAATGAAAAACTCATTCTTGAAGCTTGTAAAGTACAAAACCACCATAATTTCTGAGCTGTACAGCCACTCAGAAGTCCATGGGTAAAAAAATCCCACAGAGCAGGTGTTCAGCTTTGCTGGATTAGACTTGCCATGCTTGCCCTCTTGTCTCCCTCCTGCTGCAGCCGGACACAGATGGGCAGAGGTTTACCCTGACCTCAGACTTCCTCAGGGAGGAAAGAGGCTGAACACTTGTGAAAGTCATAGAAAATATGGAAGGTGTTGAATAACTGGGACGCTGGGATACACTTCAGAGTAAAAAGCCATGGGATGGCACAAAGACAAGACAAATATAGGTTAACTACCAGAAAAGAAGTTGTCTCAGATGTTAAATAACAGCACTGTCCCATTTATTGCTCAACTTAAAAGTCCCCTAGAGAGTTTCTGAAGGAAAAGATTAAAAATATAAAGGGAGAAATGATACTACTTTGGCACAGCAAGACCTATTAATGAGCTTGAATAACATCCTGCTATTTTGAAAGTACTTCACAGAGGTCATGCTTAGCTAAAAAATGTGCCTTGTGTCAACCCAAAACACATTGCTTTGTGAAGTTGATCTCGCTTCATAATAGAATAGGGCTGTTCTAAGACTTTATTATTTGTCATCTTGACAAAGCAAGTAGTGCAATGATACCCTCTGCCTTCCCAGATTGAGTTTTAAGAACATGAATGTAGTGGGAGAGTGAGACCCTTAGAATACCCTGAGTTGTAGCAAGAGCACTAAAAACAGTGTCATCAAGAGAGAAGGAAAGACCAGAGGCAAAGACCTGTTTGTGATGCAGAATAAGCAGAGCCAGAGATAAAACCTAGTATGAAGCATTACTGTTTTATTATCAGAGCTGTGCAACTAGTGGCTGGAGAAGCAGAAGCTGAAGATGTCTCTGAGGAGTTGTCAGGGACTGTTCTGTGGAAGAGGGAAGGAGCCATTCCTGACAATGAGTATACAACCGACTTCTCGGAGGTGGCGCAGATAAGCAAAGGGTAGTAATGTTCTTTCCTATGTTATACCTAGTCTCCCTTTTACAACAAATCAAGATTGCATGGCCATTCCAGCTATTTGAACAAAGAAAATGAGGAACACATATTATTTGCCTTTGTTTATAGCTTGAACTGAGAAAATGCCTGGTACACAATGTGCCACTCATTGAAGAAAGAGGAATTACGTGCCAAGGCACTGAGAAAAAGCAAGAAAGAGAAAAACACTCAGACAGAGGAAGAAGATCTCAGAAAGATCAGCAAAGCAGCAAATAGTAGAGCCATTCATGTGTCTCAGCAGGTCAGCCAGCCTGGGGACTGTGGTACTCTTACCAAAGCAGTCAGTGAGACATTTTGGTCAATCTGATTGCTTGAGCATCACTTCTGCATCTATCACATTTCTGGCCCATGCACATCTAATCTGGTACTGAATTGCTTTTGTTTTTTGTAAAAAGAAAAAAAACAAAACGCTCCCTGATCTTTATTTGCTGAGATTGGCTTTAGATGTGGGCTTACAGCGTCCACCAGTAAGGTACATCAACAAGTCATCAGAGCAAATCTAATGTGATTTGTTCTCATTTTCATTCTTCTTTGTTCAACACAGTGAATCAATGTTTACTTACAAGCAAGCTTTCATTCTAAATGATCCATGCAAGTGCACTGAGGTTGAATGAGGCCAGAGTTTGAAAAAAAAAGTTAGAAATTCAGTCATGCACTAAGCATCAATAACAGTATTACTGACCTTGGTTCACAAAGCATTTGTCATGAAACATCCTGCAGCTGGGAAAGCTGCACTGACCTTGTTCTATTCGGCTCTCCCCAGAATCCCTTTACAGATGTTCTCTGATGCCTGTAGTGCATCTACTCTTGACAGATCAATCTGTACAGCGTGTTTATAACACTCCCCACTCACCACCAAGTGTTTGGCAAAGAGTGATGACACATGGGTGTGCTAAGATTGGAGTAGGTAAGATTGGAGAAGGAGGAGCAGAGGTGAAGAGACAGATCTTTTTGTGTGTGAAGCTGGAGGCTCAGAAGTCCCAGTGATTTTGCTGCAGCACCCTGCAACACCAGCTCTTCTCACTGCAAAGTGATTCTCCTAGTGGAGAATCCCCCCCTACTCCAATGCTTCCTTTGTATTACCTGTATTTTGAGATGCAAGACCACTAATGCATAAGAAGATAACACAACATTGGTTGATGTCCATAGAGGTAAATATGTCCAAAAGGATGCCAATGGATGTAAATTTCGGAAACAAAAATGCCAACACATCAGACTGAGTAATTCAAACAGATTTCTAGTCATAAGCTGGAAAATATAAATACATCCGTATGTACTAAATTGTCCTTGGTACCTATGGATGTTGGCTCTGGACTAGTCAGTGGCTTGTGCTGCTCAGGGACATGGAGGTGCAAAAGAAAATAACACAGTCCCTTATGCCTCTGTAGCAATGGTAAAGGAAAAATGACACAAAGATGTGAGAGATGACACCAAGCTTTGTGGTGTGTCATCCAGAGGGACCTAGAGAGGCTCAAGCAGTGGGCTTAGATGGTTCAACAAATCCAAGCGTAAGGCCTTGGGTGATGGCAACCACCACTACCAGTACAAGCTGGGGAACAGAAGGATAGAACACAGACCTGCCAAAAAGGATGTGAAAGTACTGGTGGATGGCAAACTGGACATGATCCAGCAATGTGCCCTCGTAGCCCAGAAAGCCAACCATATCTCCTGGGCTGCATCAAAAGAAGTGTGGCCAGTAGGGTAAGGGAGATCTTGCCACTCTACTCTGCACTGGTGAGACCTCATCTGGAGTACTGCATCCAGATGTGGAGTCCTCAATACAGGAGAGACGTGAACCTGATGGAGTGCCTTCAGAGCAAGGCCACAAAAACGATCCAAGAAACAGAACACCTCTTCTACTAGAACAGGGTGAGAAAGCTGCAGCTGTTCAACCTGGAGAAGAGAAAGTTCTAGGGAAACATCATAGCAGATTTTCAGTATCTAAAGAGGAGATTATAAAAAAGAAGGGGACAGCGTCTTTAGTAGTGTCTGTTATGATAGGACTAGGGGAAATGGTTTTAAACTAAAAGAGGAGAGATTTAGATTGTACATAAGGAAGACATTTTTTATGATAAGGATGATGAGGCACTGGAACAGGTTGCCCAGAGAGGTAGAGGGAGTCCTCTCCTTGAAGACATTCAAGGTCAAGCTGGAGGGGGCTCTAAGCAACCTGACCTAGATGCGTATGTACCTGTTCATTGCAGGGGAGTTGGTCTAGATGACTTTTAAAGGTCTTTTCCAAATGATTCTGTTTCTATGATTCTATAAATGGCATTTCCACTGCTGTTTGCAGTATCTGCAGCCAGGCTTGGCCTTCATGTACACCAGCTGGTGACAAAACTGGTGGGACATGAAGCGTATTCCCTGGTCATTGCCAAGATAGCCCCAGGAAAAGCCCTTTCTGAGGGATAACTCTTTAAGTGCCACTGGGGAGCAATACTCAACCTGGTCTGTAACCTCTCTGCAGGTTTGAGCAGAAGCTGTCCAGTCCTGTCCTCTGCGTCTCAGGCTACGTCTAGCTCTGTGCAAGAGCTTAACTGTGATTCTACATCAAATGAGGATGTCAACAGACTGCAGCAGCTCTCATAGAGCTCCAGTGAATCTGGCTCAGTTAAAATCTCTAAGTCCTCCAGCTTACTGACAGATGAACATCCAAAAGCCAAATGCCTAAGCTGTTCTCACCTCAAGTGACCTGTGGTTAATTAGCAACTTAAGTGGATAGTTTAGCTAAATTCTTTATATGTTTGGGAGGGAGAGTGGTGCAAGATTAGTATTAAATATATTTAATAATAAATATGGCCAGCATTAGATATAAACTGATTTAAACAGATAAATGCAGAGAGTATTCGGGGAAGTTTTATCAGTATTACTCAGTCTCTCGTCTGCTTTTCAGAGGAGCAACTCTCAGACAGTTTTTGACAAACTTCCTTAGCACAGGCTGTTTCTGTGGAGGTGCAGGCCACTCCTAGTGAGCAGACTGTGGCCTTTAACTGTTTACCCATTGTTTCTCCATACATTCACCGGCCAAGTGATCCACCCTAATTACTCCATCTTGAGTATCACGTGTCCAGAATTAGGCCCAGAGAGAACAGATAAACTGAACACAAATCCTTATACTTATTTAGAGAAAAAAACAACAAGAACAGCAAAAGCTGATATACAAAACACCACATCCAACATCACAACATGAATGCCCATAACTCATTCATTAACTTCAGAAAGCCTCTACTCTATCATCTACTCACATAACTAAGGCTTGAATCACCACAGAGTGAAGATCATGGCATGATTCCCAGGGATCACAATGGGTTTAACATCTAGATAGTCTATGTATCTCTCTAATCTACTCTGTATAAACCAAGTACATTACAAGCATGTGATTGTTAATATATATTTTTTTGCCCTTAGCATCTGCTGTTTATCAGCTTCTGCTTTTAAGTAATTTCCTTTACCTCCTTTTCCTTTTTCTGTGTCCCTCAGGATGATTCTGACACCTGGAATCGAGGAACAGTTTAGCAATTGGACTACATTCCTTCTGTCTCCCAATTTTATTTTAATCATGACACAGTTTTTACATGGGTTTATAGGGCTTATTTCCCTATAGTGCTTATTTCCCTATTCCAGCATACGTGTGCTGAGGGAAATATTTATTTACTACTTTAACTGTTCCTGATCAGATGGGGATGACCAGCATTTCAATTAGCTGTGTTCAACCTACTGAATGCTGTAAAATGGAGTAAAGTTTCACGCATCTAGATTCTTCTTAATCAAAGATAAATTTTTCACAGTAGGACTTTCTGTTATCTCTTCAAATATTTAACTAGCCCTGGCATCACTTGTCAAGGTCACTGCATACCAGGTGAGTACACCATTTTAGGAAACACCCAATAACCTGAATTTGCTTGAAAACTTTTTAAAAACACCCAGAAATCTCAAGCCATTTCTCTTTCCTTCCTCTGCACCTCCCTTCTCTCCAGCACAATTTCAACACTAGCATGAAAAAAAAAAAAATAAATAAAAATCAGAAGAGCTCACCCCTACATTTCATCTGGATAAAATCCAGCTGATGAATGGCTTGCAGTAAGGGTTCACTATCCAGCGTCAGGTCAAACTCGGCAGACACTTTTGGCTCCAAGGCTCCTTTGACCCACTGTTCCTGAGATACCTGGACACGTTTGATTAAAGCATCTGAAATCTGAAAGAGACCATCAAGCTTTTGATGAAACTACGGATGCAGAAGCACATCAGAAGACATGAGAAGTGACAGAACAGCTGTGAGATGCAGCACAAAAGAAACAGGAGTACGACAGCATGAGAGTTGAGATGGGATCCTGTAATTCTGAAGGGAGTTCCATTTATGTTACATCCTTTGGTCTCCTCCTTTCAAAAAACATTCTCATCTTAGAGTACAAAAATAAAAACTGCATTTGTAAAGGCCATTAGTATTGTTACAGATCACATCTCTGAATGCCTCGTCACTTCAGAATTCTGTTCTGATCTGCACTGTATGGCTCTGCTCTCCTGTTCAAACAGCCAGTTGCTTAAAGAGAGGCTGACATGTCAGAGGTTCTCTCCATTTAGCAGAGATGATTCAGTTGAAAGAAATACAAAAATCAAATGGGAGAGAAGGTGTTTATTTCTCACAATAAGGGAGATAGGTTGTCGCACAGATTTCCTAAGAACATGATGGATTCACTATCATTACATCAAAAACAGTTTTGTGTTTAAATCTTCATTCTTGCTCAGCCTATAATCACTTAGGCCACAAGTCAGAATAAGATGATCACAATGTCCTCTGTAAGTGAGATCTTGTCTCCACACAAATCATTGAACTCAACCTCCTTGAGTTCAGTTATGCCATTTGAGTACCTGTAATCCTTTTGAGTGACATTCCTGTCAATCAAAGAGAGTAAAATTTTTCTGGATAGGTCAGAGTGGGTTTTCCTTCATTGTAGGAGTTCAGATATCCTTCCTCACTACTGTCACTGGAAGATCCTTCTGTCTGGATTACTGTACCAGAAAGTCCCAGCCACTCTGTGTGGTAAGGAGGAGCCTTCCTGTAACCCTGGAGTCACTTACAGGGCTGCTGGGTCTCTTGGCTGTGTTTCTATATACTGTCTGCAGGAGCAGTTGCTCTGAGTAATGCAGTACTTCAGTGTTTGCTGGTTACCTTGAAATTATTGTCAGATAAACCAGAAAAATGAACAGGAAAAAAAAAAAAGAAAAAAAAGTACATTTTTATATGAAAGGTGAGTGCCAAGAACGAAGACCCAAAGTTTATAGGAAAAGTAAGCTGAGTGGTAAACAAAGCATCTGAAGTACCTAAGTATGTTTGTTAGACCTAAAGGCCACATTTGTCCTGTAGTATCCAATTGACAGCCTGCTAAAATGCTACACAGTCTCTGGGATTAACATACATCACACAGTCTTAACTCTTGTTTGAGACCAGATGTGACAGTAACCATCAATCTGGAGTGCTAATGGGTTTATGTTGGATAATTCTCATTCTGTTTTTCAGGGATACTGTGAGAGGCCTTGCATTCATGCATTCATGTGTGTGGCATGCCCTGTTTGGCTGACAGTCACATATTGGCCATTTTCTTTGGAGCCATTTCTTCTTAGGCAATAAAACTAATAATAATAAGGCAATAAAACTAATATGGCAAAACAATAATTAAGGAAAATAGTTAATAAAATGCGATTAGTTAGGCCAAGTAATTGATTGGATAACAAAACACGTATTTTTTCTCATCAATTGACCCTTTCATGACTTGCTCCATCTTCTCCCTCGTCTCAGTGATGATAACCATGAAAGACTCATCCTGCTTCCTCCCTGGGACCTGGGTTGCACAGCTCCTGCAAATGAGCCAGAGGGAGTCAGACAGCAAAGAGATACTGTCAGTCTTCCTTGATGTAGGCTTACATGGGATCCAATCATAAAATCTCTCTCAATATATTTACAGAGGCAGACTCCAAGGGAGCTTCTACACATTTGAAAACTCTTCAGACCTTAGCACAAGCTTCCAATAAGTTGTCTGTTGCAGAAAGGATGGAATGAAACCATAAGGTTTAATGATATTCAAATTGTAACTGGCATGATTTTTGGCTAGGCCTTATAGACGTTATCAGCAGGAATCTGTCTTAGAAGGGGAAGACACTAATTAGCAAAGCTGTATACTTCTATATTTACGTGTTAAATCTTTTTTTTTTAGATCTTTTTTACCCCAGTTCACCCAAAAGGAAAATACCTGTAAAAACCCAGAGGGATCATTTTCTTTGATAACTTCTAGGCAGTACTCCATAAGCCCTGTTGACTGACGTAGCTTCAGCGTACAGTGGTTTATCTGGTCCCAAACAACCTGGAAAACAGGCATCAGCACAGTTCTGATAATTGCTTCAGCTTACAGTGAAATGTATAAAATTATTTCAGAAGAGGCAACAAATGGGAGAGCGTGTAAAAGCAGTGCTTAATTTAGCTGCCATATGGCCATTGCCACAACTCCATCAGCTACGCTCGCTTGCTCCGTATTGTAAATACCGATAATTAGTTTGGCAAAATGTTGCGCACGGGGAATCTCAATTTTCAGAGCAGATTAATTGCTCAAAGCTCAGGTTTGCTGGGGGCAGAAGGAGCACATAACATATTTTTGCATTTGCAATATTCACATTTACAATTGCGCTTTCACTAAAAATTTGAGCTTTTGAAAAATCTTTGCCTTAAAAGACAAATATTACAGAGGATAACTGCAGATTATACTCTACTGTTCTCTTCACAATTCATCATCAATCCTGTTCAGCTTAAGGATGCACTGCTAGAATTAAGAATTGTAAAAGGCATCTCTTTTTTTTTTTTTTTTTTTTTTTTTCAGATTTCAGACTTTATTCTGCTGTAAATTAGGCCTAGTAGCATTGTGTTCAGTAGCACAACTCCTCAGTTACCCCAGGATAACAGCAACAAACAGTGGGATAAGCAATACTGTTAGAATCATCTCCTTATTGTTGGCTCTTGTTAAGCATGGAGACTTCCAAACGCTGATCTCAGGTTGATTTTATTCATTGCTTTTCATGTTGTTTTTCACTTTTATATCTCCTCCTGTCTTAGATACTATTAATGTTACCCACACTGTAATACTTCAGAATCACTTATACAGTTCCACATTTCAAGAAACTTATCCATTTTTTCACTTCCACTTTGTTCATCCACTTACAGCTTTCTTTTCCTTCCTTTACAGTGTTTCTTTAATATCTTCTAAGTAGCACATGGGCATCTGGAGGCTTGCTTGAATTTTGAAGATTTGAAGAGACACCAAAATCCCCAAGGTTATACCTGAGCAGAAGTGTTTTTTGCCATTGGAAGGATCCACACATGCCTAATGTTAAGTGTACAAGCACATTTCTACTAAACTGCTGAACAGAACCTGCTGAAGAACTTCAGGATTGGGTCGTTAGGAATTTGCACTGTGTAAATGGCTGGGGACTTGGCAAAATGCACAGTAATACCAGGTATCAACAGCCACACTGAGCTGAATACTTAAAGCTGTTTAGAGCTGCACTTACCTTTAGTTTGTGCTCACGTTCCTTGGTCACTTTTGTGAGCAGTTTGGCCTTTTGTCGTGTTAATGCATCAACCAAGGCATCACACTGAGCAACAAGACAGGCTTCGTAATCCAATCCATTCTCCTAGAAGAAGAGTCATATTCATGAAAGAAAACATGCTTTATAGCTACACTATTGTTTATTCTTACCTGTTTTTTTTCCATTCAGAGATATCCTTTCAAGGCTTTCTCATTCCTATTGCCTTTCTGATTTCATTACTGCCGTGTCATTAATAGCTGCATGCTATAAGATGAAACAGGAAGATGCCATGCTGCAAAGTGGGCTTCTATGAAAACCTTGATTTACTGGCACTTTTCAGACTGCAGATGTAGTACACCATAACATAAAATCAAAACCTACTGCACACTCATACATAAGAGGAGTCTGTCCCACTCTGCATAATTAACCCATTTTAGCTCCTATGAAATCACTAGCTAGTACTCACAGTCTTTTGTTGACAGTGTGGTAAACCCTGGTGGGCAGAGGTCAGCAAGTGTGGTGCACAACTTGTACCCCCTACAAAGCCCGGCTATCACTCAGCCCTCCATCAACTTCCATAGGGTAAATGAGGAACAAACTGTGCTACCACCAGCTCCCAGTACAGCTGAAGAAATCTGGGTGAATGATACAAAAATGACTTCTGCTTGCAGGTGATAACTTTCCCTGCTTGAGGAATTGGTGCTGCAGCACCCATTTGAAGGAAAGCTCTCCCTCACTTCGTCTGCTGGTGAGGAAATCAGGAAAAAGTTTTCAAGGTCCTATTACCACAAGATGCTCTGCTGTCCTATCAGCTTTACTCCCAGTTCCCAAATCATGGAAAAAAAAAAAGAAAAAGAAAAAAAAGACTTTAAACATCTGCTTAAGGAGAAGCATGTCAATGGAAAGCCATCACACATCTCTAATTCGTTACTGTTTCTCAACTCTTTTGTTTATGCCACTCTTTTCTACTCCTTTGCCAGCAAGAAGGGATTGAGGAGAGACACCAGCTAGCTTGGTTACTGTATACAAGTTTATCCTAGACACCTCCTGTTTGTATCTTTCCCTCCTCAGCTTTTATCACACCTGATTCTCTCTTAAGCTTCTTTCTATCAAGCTTCTCTTGATGTGCTGTTTTCGTATATAGTGTGAGTCTGTACATGGCGGTGGTGCACCATTTTTCTCTTAATTCTCTGTTCACACATTAAACAGGGTGCTTGGCAATATGCCTCTTCCAAGTGAGAAAGGATGAAATTGTTACAGCAGATGGGAAAATGTGAAAATCAGATAATGAGAGCATTAGGGAGGAGCAAGGAAACAAGAGGGGTGATGAGGAACAGGAAGTTTGTGAAAAGAGACTATAAGATGTAGAAGTGACCTCAAAAAGGTGAAGGGAAGGAAGAAGAGGAGAAAGCAACAGCTCTGCAAAACAGGAAAAAGGAAAAAGAGATTATGAATTTGCAATCTGCCCCGGGTAAGACAAAAGCTCTGCTCCTCATAGCTCTGACATTCACAGTGAGGAGATAAAGAGTGCGGATGGCTAAGTGGTTTGGAATGCACTGAAACAAGATAATAAAATGTACGTGTGGCTCATTCCTTTGTGTAAAAATTAATTTATAAGGCATTTTTGCTGAGGAGTAAGTGTCTGTATGTATGCGTGAGGCGACCACCAGAAAACACCTATTAGAAATAACCTGCAGATATATAGAGATAACCTGAGATATATGGTTCTGGGTATGAATCTACATGTATAAATGTTTATCTGTCCCCGTGCCAAAATAAAAAATAAAACAAAACAACAACAACAACAAAAAAAAACAATCCAAGAACTACTCTTTGGTCCAACAGCCAAAAGGTACAGATCAGCTCATGACATTTCTAAAACCCTTCCCCTAAACAAAGTGACTGCACTAAATCTGCCCAATGGGAACAATCCCTGTACCAATTCCTTCACCTGGAAAGAGTGCAATTTCTCATGAGACAAAATGATGCCAAGGAGCTCCACAGGAGCCAGACAGTGTGAGTGATTGTCACCTAGCACCCAGAGTAACACCCTAGTCTTGTTTCACTTGGGCACACATATGCAGCTTTGTGTGCTGCTTTGCACACAATTTGCCAGTGATTTTATTGAAACACATTAAGAGATTTTACATCGTAGTCATAAATAGTCATAATAGACCTTAATAAAAACCTTTGGGTTTTAAGAGGGGGAAAAATTATTTAATGGAGCTAGGTGAATCAAGGAAAGAGTGGCAACAAGCTATTGCTTTAGATGATTTATTGCAGCCCAAAAATAGCTGCCAGTATGCACAGGAAGCTGCCGGTACGCTTAGAGGTGTCCATCCTTCCTGGACAATGAAAGAAGCCCAGGTGACTAGGCTAGATGGGCTGTTTAACTTTCAGATAGCAAAGGTCAGCTGAGAAAAACCTCAATGTGTTCAAAACACAGCACGTTACAGGCACCACCCAGCGTCTTCACACTGGTTTCTTTCAGCTAGATGTGCCCTTTTTTTACCAGGTTCTTCATCCTTCTTTGTTCTCTTCCCCACCATGCTGCAGAAGGCAGAGAGGGTGTGTGATTGTACTGCTCTGTGGCAATCTGAGAGCTTTGGCAGCACTTGCAGTACAAATCCATAATTTGCAGTGTTAAGCGACATTTTTGAAATGATTTAATCCTAAACCAAACGCAGATCATTGAAATTCTGCTTTGGCTTTCTGTTAGCAACAGAAATAAGACTTGCTTGTTGATGAAAGAAGAGCACGCATATCGTAGAGCAGACAATGTGACTGCAGATAGGAAGTATCTCCTTCCAGACACCACAAAGCTCAGAGCACAGCAGCATGTCTGCAGCCCCACTCTGCATGGCAAGAAGGGAGTTGAGGACCATATGACCTCCAGCACTGATTAGAGTGCAAATCTGGTTGGAAACAGAACTTGCTTCCTTTGGGGTTTGTGCCCTCAATTACTGCACTCACCGTGAGCCCTGTTCTGACTGTTCAAGCTGCGCAATTGCGTGCATGGAAATACTTCTCCTTTAATAAACAATCAAATTGACTTAGCAGCATGTGTTTCTTTCCTCTTTTTTGACTTCCTACAAATCGTCTAATAAACAGGCTGACTGGATTTTATCCAGCAACAAGTACATTTTTTAAAAATGCTAGATGAAAAACGATTAATAAATTCTGAGTGGGTAAAAAGGAAAATTTATCCTAAATGTCCAATTCAAGGAAGAGCCAGCAGGAAGGATGCTGAAAGCATGGCAGAGGGGTTCAATCAAATGCAAATCGACTCAGCTCTGGTGTCCAGTACTGAGTATCAGCTTCTTGCAATAAACAGCAATCCAGAAGCTAAAACAGGCTTATAGGCATTATTTGATGAGTAATTTTGCCTAGCATGCTTATATCCAAGAAAGGTTACATGATTCCAGGAAATAGAAGAACAGTGAAGGAAACAAAGCCATCAGATAAATTATTCACTCAGTTCTATTGATTACATATCATCAAAACAGCCAACATTCTACAGTTACCTGTATCTGCTGCAATAAATTTTTCAGCTGAACCAAAAATTCTTTAGCTTCCTTTGCTTTATCTGAAACACCATTTAAAGCCTGAGACAGTTGTGCCTGCAAGAGAAAAGAAAAAAAAACAAACAACAAAACAATAAAAGGAAAAATTGGAGATAAAATGTAAATATGTTTCTTACTAATCCTTGCTTTTAACAAGTAACAATGACCTAAAAGGCTTACTTGCTGTCACACATATTCTTAGACATGCAGGCTGCTTATGCTAGAAGAGAAGAGTTAAGATTTTAATTGTAGTAAGATTTAATAAAGGAGAAATATGCATGTGGGGGCAGTTAAGTATTGTGTCTGCACATTCCCCGTTATTGCAGTGATTCTGTAAGTCAAAATACTTTTTACAAGACTACTACCCACATATATAAGGAAATAATGGTCTTACACAGATACATCTGTCGTGCTGTGAAATTCTCAAGTGCTTTCCGAAATAGTGCTTCTGTTCATCAAAGCCTGAAATCTTTATAAGCATAGTACATTCTACTAAACCTATGACTGTAGAGATAAATCTGCGTTTTTAGACTTCACTGTTATGTCCTTTTAGGGCTTCAATTTTCTGTGCTCCAATCCAACAAATGGGTGAGTATTTCTGGAATAGCTAAAACAACCTCTTCCCCTTGCTCTTGGCAGGTGAGGGACGAGGAGTTCATTTGTTGTAAGCCCATACTGAAGACCCAGCTTCCTGTTGCTTAGCTTGCAACTGAGATCTTTACAGTGAACAAGCAGCTTCTTGAAGGACATTCAGGGTCTGGAGAAAGGAGGAGGAACCTGAAGGTGCAGTCCTTGCACAGTTTCTTTGACTGAGACTACAGAAACCATGCTTTTCCATCCGTCAGCCCGTGGCCAGTCCAAATCCAGCATTAGGTATCTGCCAGCATAACATGGAGGGATGGGATGGACCCCAATCTGAGTGACATTGGTGATGTTTTTTGCTGTCATGCTCAACCTTTCTCACAGGGCATGCACCTAATGCTGGGCTGTGGGCTCCTATGCCAAGTCCTACTGGTTAGATTCTCTTTTCACGGGTCTGCTTCTTTGCCACAATGGCTATTTATCAGACTGCCAATGCCCAAGTATTATCCTCATCAAACAGACATTCAACTGACATAAAGAAACAGAAAATGAAGCTTCCTTGCTAAAGTCAGGTTTCCAAAAGGTTGCAGTCTCTTGACTCCATAGGAGTAGAGGGTGCCTGGAGACAGAACTTTGTGCATAGGAAGGCACAAAAGCTATGAGAATTTCTTACAGGAGACCCAACTGTAATCCACAAGTCACCACTCATTCCCTGCTTCCACCTTTTTCCTGAAGGAGAGTAAATTGTTCCACTTCTGAAAAGGGCACAGATCAATTCCTCATGCATGCAAAGTTTGGGGCTTATCTCCCACCCGAATGCCCTTAGACAGTCTGTCCTTGGACTCACTTGGGTGCTCAGGGCAAAAAGGAGCAGGACCAGCACCTCCTTGTGCGCACTGCGTGCCCCAGCTCTGAGGTCACAGCCCTACAGTGATGTGTGGGCAGGGGGCACCAGCACACCCTTACTGGAAGCAGAACTGATTTATAAAGAATGAAGTCATATTTGTATTTTTTTCCCCTCATATTCACACAGACCTTCCTCTTTATGCCCACTAGTAGGCATTCCATTAGTGCTATATTTGAAAATGAAATATGCTTTACTACAACTAATTTGTAACAAATGTAGTGGGGAGTACAACAATCACAGTGCTAGATGCTTGAACATTTAATAGTCTCTTGCACAAACTTCTGCTACATCATAAAACTGTAAAGCAATTCTGTTTGCTATGAAAGCTATCTGAGGCCACAAAAACAAACAATAATTCCTTAAAAGGGTCCTGTTCTCCTTCAACACAACTGATCAGGACTTGGATCTTCTTTCTCTGGGTTGATGTGTTTTCCATAGTTTAAAGCCCACCCTTGCTGACTGCACTTCCCATTCCACCCACAAGGACTTTGGTTTGTCCAGTTGATGTATGACAAGGTGGAACTTGCATGTGACAAAGTAGTGGAGACGCAGAAGAAAAAAAGAGGGCATGTAAGCACCATGTGCTCTGTTAGTGACTGGCCCAACAAAAACATACCAGTGTTTCAAGGATTGGTCCCAACAAAAGTAAAGCTTACACTTCTCCCACATCAGCCCTTACTCTCAAATCGAGGTGCATTTCACCAGAAAGGAAGAGCCAAAAGTTACAGATGGTCATCAGGTAAAAATCCAAAATCACACCAATGAATTTTAACCAACATGCACTACTATCAACTGGTGCAGTAATGTCTGGCTCCTGGCATTCTACCGTTCCAAGAGTCTGGAATAGAAACTTGACAACATCATTGATCAGATGACTCTAAAGTGAATTTCTGTGCTCATTAAAAACTGTGGTTGCATTAATACGACGACAGTGTGGAACCAGGGAGAAGATCAGATCTCTATTTATGAAACCCACTTAGAGGTAATAGCCCTGTTTTTCTAAGCATTTGTAAAAGATACCTTACAAAGCAGTGAAATCTAGTCATGCACTTCCCATTAAAACCAAACAGAACTACATGACTAAGCCCTCAGTAAACCAACCAAACCATAAAAAATGCCCTGCACACTCAGAGTGATCTCGCATGCTGCTGAATATTCACTTGAAGCCAAACTGAAATGTTACGAGCTCCACTGACTACAACAATTAATGATTCCTGACAAGCAATATTCTACCTACAGTTATCTTTACTTCAATACTAGTTTTTCAAGAAAAAAAGCAAAGATTCTGGAGGTAGACACAAGGTTCCTGCTTCTATCAAAGACAGGAACAGAGAGATAATGAGGGTGAGTAATTAAATCCAGATAGGCACAGAAGACTGATGCTTCCTTTGATTTTAGAAAATGAACCAGATAATGCCAATGCCCTCTTTCAACCGAGCAGTTCATGCTCATTTAACTTGTTTTCCCTCCATCTCTCTTCAGCAGCAGATTAGCTATTGATTAGACAAGCTTATCCTGGTGCTGCAAGCTGAAAGAGCCCTCATGTTTTTGGGAACACAACTCCTTCCTACCAGCAAATCAAAGCAGGCATGCAGACTCCAACACTTGCCTTCAGCTGCCTGACTGCCTTTCACACACCTGTCCAGGTGAAGTTTGTTTTGGCATTTCTATACATATAAAACCAGTGTGCAGATTGTGAAAAGTATGCACCATCTGTTTTCACATCCATAGGTCAAAAGGCCTACAAACATATATCCCTTCTTTCTGTGAAGACCTAAACCAACTTCTCTGGCAGTAGATTTGCAAAGTTTTACTTATTAACCAAAAGTTGTTGGTCCAGATAGGCAAGTAGTGTAATCGAGTGTAACAAAGACCATCTATGTCAGTGGATTTACAGCTGATTTATGCAGTTGTGGCCCTGTTTATATTTTCCACCATTTCTTATTTTATTGAAAAACATATAGCAGGGCAACGGGCAAACCTGTACCATTAACAAAGGCCAAAAATTCCTGCACAGCCATCAAGCCATTGGCACAGCTGGGAGTAAATGCCCTTCTCACTGCATGGTCTGAGACATCACACCAAAAAGTCTGTAGTTTTCTACTGTGTGTAGTTTTCTTCCCTGTGTAAGACTCAAGCAAAGGGGAAGTCAAACAATTTGAAGAGAAGGACAATGCACAAATGGAATGAAAACAGATCCTGAAGGAGAAGATGGGCAGTGATACTTGAAAAACAATTCTAGGGCCAGAAGAACGAAAATTGTTAGTTTTTAATTTTCTGTTATGGGATGGAACTGTGAGCTGTGAGAGGAGGGGGCATGGCAGTGGAACTCTTTACAGGGGAAGAATGCTGCCCCTTCCCTTAGGATAAGATAAGCAGGTGCTTATCACCTGGTGGGGAACAGGTGCTGACCTGCCACCTGAGCAGGCTCATGGAGAATCCCTTCTACCTGCTGCTCTACCACCTCTGCCAGGCTATCTGGGGAGAACACACACAGCTTGAATTCCATTTGGCTCACTGCATGCAGTAATACTTCAGTATGAGTAACTTATGGCTTGGCCGAAGTCACTTCAGGTAATAAACCAGTAGAAATTGCTGTATGTGAGAACTATCACGAAGCGTAAGTATCTAATTCTAGGGCAATTTATCCAAATGAATGTGAGCTGATGATTTAGGCTATTTGTCTATGATTCCACTACGTTTATTTTCTGCCAAGTACATTGTTCTAGGAAAAGTAGTAGCTACAAGAGCTCAATGTCAGAGTCCCCAAATCAGTTAATTCTGAAGCTTATTTAAGCTTCCACTAGATCTTCCACCACGAGTCTATAAATCAAGAGGAATCACATTTTGTGATAAGGTACTTCCAGAAAAAAAAGAAGTGGACAAACCAACAAGCTCTTGTTCATTTTTTCAACAACAGGAAAACAGGAAAATGACTGTCAGCACACACTTACTACACCAAAGTTTATCACACTGTTCAGAAAGGCTTCAACCAATCTTAAAGTAAATTGTAACACAACACAAGCTAGTCTCTCACAGCACAGAGAACATTAACCATGTTTCAACAGTGAGCTCAGTCACTGCTCGTTTGAGTAATTCTGTACAGACCTAGATCCTGCCGTTAGCAGTAGTGATGATCTGTTCCTTCTGCACCAAGAGAACAACTCCCCTACAGTCACATTAGGGAGGAGCTGGCAGAGCCTTTGGCAAAGAGCATGCAAACTCTGGCATGCATACTGAAGGACTCTCAGATCCACAAACTATCATGCTCACTCCAAGCCTCTTTTGGGAATTCTTAAAATCAAAAGTCAAAATTTTCTCTTACTAAAAGTCTTAGGTTTGTGCTCTCCCACTCTATGGCTGGAAAACAAAGAGACCATTCTTGCCTTTGTCCCCACCCGTGGTTCTCCCTGGATAAGAGAATTTCTCTGGGTTTCCTATGGTGCTAACTGCAGGAGAGGAAGGGAATCCTGTGGCCAGCAAAGCTAGCCAAGTGTTCTTTACATGACCTGTGGGAAAAGCCTTTTCCCTCTATCTGGAAGCTCCAAAGTACCACTGTCAGCACTGAAGATGTATATTCCCCTCTGTATGTGCATCTGTCGTAACAAATCATTTTAGAGGGTCCATCATTCTTAATAAGAATGAGCTAACATCACATACTTCTTAAACTGTTATGGTCACGTTTTGCTCTTTATTCAAATGGCTGCAAAGACTTTTGCAAGGTAGGCATTGCCACATGATCCAGCAGATCTACAAAAACTGCTGCCTGTGCTGTGCAGTGGCCTCTGACTTGTCCCCAGGGGCCTCCAGAACTACAGAGCACCAGGGAAGGGAAGAGCAAGCCAGAGTGCAATGCAGTGGGAATCTGGTAAAGCTGCACCTGTCCCCAGAGCCCACTCTATTGTTGTCTACTCATGTCATGAAGGTCCCTCCAACCATCCCTTCTGGCCTCTTTGGTGAAGGTTCTTCACCAAAGGGCAGTGGGCATGGAATGGGCTGCCCAAGGCAATGGTCACAGACCCAAGCACTGGAGTTCAAGGAGTGTTTAGACAACACTCACAGATACAGGGTTTGGATTTTGGGTGGTGCTGTGTGGAGCCAGAAGCTGGGCTCAGTGATCTTGGTGGGTCCCTGCCAGCTCAGGATGCTCTGCGTTTCTATGATGCTTTGAGAACTGAGGAGAGGTGAAGATCTTTCTGAGGCACAGAAGACAAAATGACATCTCTTGACAGCTCCTGTCATGCCTTCCACCTAAAAACTTTGGGTGGTTGAGGGTTACTCTCCCTCATTGACAGGTGGATAAGAAGTCATGGTGAAAAACATCTGTGGCAGCACCTGTTGAGGTGAAAGGGGTGTGAGAAATGAAAGAAAGGCCACCCCTCCTCCTCCTGCTGCCCACAGGCCTGCATGGGATGGTCCAGAGCACAGCAAGGCTGGCTAAAGCCAGATGCCCGTCCAGGCCTGGTTCAGCCTGGCCAAGGTAAGGGAAGGCAGCAGCAGGAGGAGTTTGTGCAACACCACAAGACTCTGAGCAGAGACTGTGGATTGGAGAGAACATTGAAGAGCAAAGAGTGCCGTGCAAGGAAGAAAACACCTGGGATGTTGATGGACACAGAAGTTCTGAACTGACAGTGGGGAGACAAAGTCCTGCTGGCCCCCCAGCTCCTCCTTGCCATTGGCACGTGCTTCGTGCTTACCTTGTGCTGCTTCCACACGGCGCCCAGGGCCTTGACCTCGTGCTTGCCGTGCCTGCCGTCCTCCAGGCACTGGTAACACACGGGGCTGCGGCAGCTCACGCAGTACATGCTGTAGTTCTCCAGGTCGTGCTCGGCGCACGTCGGCAGTTTACGCCCGCCGCCCGCCCCCTTCCCTCCGCCGTCGCCCCCTCCGGGTGGGCCCGGGGTCCCGGGCGGCGGTACCAGACGGTGCTTGGCGAAGGGTCCGCGGGCAGGGTGGCAGCGGAGCTGGCAGGCGGCGCAGTACAGCACGTCGCACTGCTCGCACAGCACAGCCGCCGGCTCGGGAGGGCTGCGGTCGCACAGCTGGCACTTGGCGGCGGCGGCGGCGGCGCGGCCCTGCTGGTAGCGCTGCACGATGGCCTCCAGCAGCCGGTTGCGCTGGAAGCCGCGGAGGCCGCGCTGGTCCAGGGAGGCGCTCCGGTGGCACTGCGGGCAGGTGAGGGACGAGCCGGCGGGGCCGGCGCCCCTCTGAGACGCCGTCGCCCCGGGGGGTGCGGGCACCAGCGGCAGCACCCGCACGCCGTTGGGAGACTTCAGGCTGGGGGTGTAGGAGCCGTAGCCGCTGTCAGTTTCGCTGTGCAAGCTCAGCTTGTCCGCGTGGTCTACGCCGCCGCCCGCCGCACACTCCGAGTCCAGCGAGGCGGCCGGCCCCGGCCCCAAGCCTGGCCCCGGCGCGGCCGCGGCGGCCGCGGGCGGCGCGGAGCCCCGCGGCTGGAGCAGGGCAGGCAGGTGCTGCTCGTTCTCCGGGGTCTGCACGGCGATGGTGCGGGCACAGGGCAGGCAGACATTGTGCGAGCAGGGCAGGATGATGGGCTCGCGGAAGAGCGAGCCGCACACCGGACACTTCAGCTCCTCTTCCATGGCCGCGGTTTCGCGTGCGCGGGCTCGGGCTCAGGCGGGCGGCGCGGGGTCGTGGCCGCCGGGCGCCTCCATCCCCCGCGGCGCCTGCGGGAGGTTCAGCACCCGGCGGGCGCGGACAGCTCCGGGCCGCAGCGGAGCCGGCGGGATGCGGGCGCTGTCCGGGAGCCGGCGGTGCCCGGGGCGAGGGGAAGCTCCGGCCCCGCTTCCCCGCTCGGGCGGGCGGGTGGAGCGCTGGGCAGGGTGCGTGGTCGTGCCGGGAGTAGTGATATATGGGCACGGGAGGCGGGGGCAGCAGGAGGAAGGGGCGGAGGGAGCCCTCTCCAGCAAATGAGGGATCGCTCGCCCTACGGCTGAGGACAGCAAAAACATTTTTTTAAAGGATCTCTCTACGGCGATGTCTTTATACGTTCAAGTAAACCCATTGTTTAGGCAACGGGATGAACGCAGGCGGGGTTCCGCTATCCGTAGGAGCCTTTTCTCCCCGCCCCAAGGAAAGCAGAAAGGAGGAATCTCCCACTAATGAACCAAGCGTGTTTATCTTTCACCCGTGCCTTACCCTACTTGAGCGTGACAAGGACGCACAAAACGTCAGGCACTGAAGGAAGAATGGAAGAGAGTTAAAGGGAATCCCGGCATGGAATTCTCTGGCTACACGGGGCAAAGGGGTAAGCAGCAGGGAGACGTGCGGCATCACCTCTGTCGTCACTGTATAAACACAACAGAAACTGCTGGAAAAATAAACGGGGGATGACAGCTGAAAGTTTGTAAACTGAGGACAGTTATTTTCAGGAGCAAGCAACCAGCAGTGGGAAATCCCCCATCTGTTTTGTTTACCCTACATAGGAAGAGCGTGGATGTAACAGTGGTTTATTTTCATAGTGAAGAGATTATACAAGTTATTTCACTGCTTTCTTTTTCTTTTTTTTTTTTTTCTGTTCATGTATCTCCTTTAAATGCCACGTCTGTTTTAACTTGAGCTTCATAAGCAGATTTTTTTCTTTTACTTCTAAATACAAGCTTATTGTGTCAGAGCAGCTTTTAAGATGCAGTCCTAACTCATGTCAGATGGAAAAATAAACATTTTTAAAAATCACCCCTCTTCATAACACTTCTTAGCCCACGATGTGCATTTTGTGACACTGGGTAGGAAAGGGTCTTCTAGTTTCCGATTTGTTTTTGCAAGGTTATTAAACTGTTGGTGCGTAGAAAAGGAGGGATGGGGACAGAGAGCATGAATATATTAAAGCTTCCATTTTGTTTTCATTGTTTCCTCTCTGCAATTCTCCTACTTGCAACTTGCCTGGACATCCTCATGACAAGCTAAAGGAAAAGAAAATCCCAAATGGGTTAAAGCTTTGTGTTCCTTAGTGTAGGGTCGAGAGAGGCAGGTTTGTCCCCTGGCACATAAAAATCAAAAGCAATGACCCACATAAAACTGCCTGTCTGCTGCCCAGGAATCTTTTTCTTTCATGTGACCTCTGTGCCAAGACTCAAAGCTGAGAGAAGGTCTGTGTTTGGGCTGCCTCCACCTGGAAGCCTCGGCAGTACAAGAAAGGTTATGAAATACTATTTATTTCAAAAATACCTTATGCTACTGTATCTCAAGAAAAAACTGTGGGTGGAGTGCTGTTACCTTTGTAACCTCTATTCTCTACTTTATCATCTGTCAGCAGTGGGAGTGATATATAATAAAGATTTCTTGCGTATGTACAGGTGAATGCAAATGACAGTGTGCAAGTATATGTTGGAAGCCATAATCCTAAGGTAATTAGGAAGGCATTATAAGCTTTTTTCCTTTGGACTTTTGCTTCATTTTTACCAATCTTATGCCAGTGATCATAAGCACACATTGATAATAGCAGATCTGAGACATATAAACAGAGCTGGATATATCAGACAGGAAGGGATGAAAATGAATAGGTATGAACACCAGACCCTAAGAGTACACATTTACAGTGGCTTTTTAGCTATGGCTGACAAGTTCTGGAGTTGAAACCCAGCGAATTTTGGATTTCCATCTCAAACATTACGGTTTGCACTACAATGTAGTACTGTTTTCCCTTGTCTACAGAGGGAAATGGCAAGAAGTACAGCATCTTTGAAGTGCCGTTATGATCAGCCAAACTGAGCTTTTCTCCTCCTCTCTAAAAGCTTGATGTGGTCTAAGAGCACATGTCCATAAATGATGATCTTTGCAACAGAGACAAAAATTTTACCTGGCTTTCTCTGTCCTGTGTTGTGACTTCTATGACATTCAAGATCGTTTTTCACCTACTTCATAAACTTGCTATAAACTTTTACACCCAAGAGAGATTTGGCTTTGAGAGAAAGAAGAGCTGCCCAGTGCGGTCCAGTGCACTACTGTCAAATCTCTTTCTCCGGAGGCCAGAACAGAAACTGAGGTAAGCACTGAAGTTTGGCACCAAGCTTGAGTGCTCTCTACAGACCCCACTGGTTCATTTGGGGTCACCCTTCATTTTGCTGAGAATCAGATCCTACTGAGGAGGCCCCACTGATGTCGATGGAGTTACTCCTAAAGCTCTGTTCAACCTGATAGAATCGGGCCTTTATCATGTTTTGTAACCAAGCCATTCTTACAGTGGCTATGAACCCGATGATTTTTCCTCTTTTCATGTTCAAATGAGTCTTTAATCTCTTGGAGCTGTAACTGTATAGGATAGCCTAGAAACCCTATTCTGGCAGTCATTGCTTTGATCTTTATTTTAATACTTCAGTATCACTAATATCATCCCCTTAAACTATTTACCCTGCATAAGAACTCATTAGCATCTTTTATATCCTCCAGCCAGAAAAAAAAAATAATAATAAAAAAAGCTAATGAAGTTTATAAATACACTTACCAAAAAAAAAAAAAAAAAAAAAAAAAAAAAAGCAGACTCTCAGTAAGGAGAGAGATGTGATTCATCTTTTTTGCTTCTCTTGTTTTATTGTTTATACTTTTTAATTCTGTTTCTCTGTTGTTTTTTTTTTTTCCATGTTTTTCATTTCTTCTATTTTTTTATTTTATATTTTTTCCTGCCCTCACATATTAACCTCTTCCCAATTAGTTTTCCCTTATTTTTTCCCTCAGCCTTTTTCCTCAGAAGCTGCCCACTGAGGTCACTTTGCTTTCTTCAGCTCTCTTCTTTTACCACAGCTGTCTGCCCACCCCTGGGGAGCTCTCTGATCCCAGCGCTCCAGCACCGCTCCCACTAACAGGCATCACTCAAAGCATGCATCTTGTAGCTTAAGAGGTAGCAGAGGGGGAAAAAAAGGATCTTTCCTCTATAGGTGCCTGTGTCATTGCAGTAAGAACTACAGAGAGAGAGAGTTCACAAAAACCAGAGAGGACAAAACAGGTGAGAGCTCTAAACAGTGAATACAGATACACGTTACATCTTTGCATTGCTCTTATAACAAACAACACACCACACAGTCTTTACCCAGAGTCCTGTTTCCAGCATCACTGGTGCTGTGTGCTCTGTTTGGGGGGTGATGTGGCAGTGGCACAGGAGATTGCTGCACTGGGGATTAGAGGAAAAGCTGATGTGTGGAGTCTGTGAGGCAGGGCAGCTCTGGAAATGGTAGCTGTGTGCTACTGTTCTCCCTTATTTCCTTGTTTTTAGAGATTTGCATTAGCTACATCATTTCAGTGCAACAGTTTCGAAAGTTCTTTTCCTTTCAGCTTGCATTCAAGTATCTATTATGTTATTTAGGGTTTTTAAATGTTTGCACATTGATTTGTTCATGAGAGAAGGCAGAGTTTGGCAGCAGCCCAGAAGTGTGTCACAGAAGCACGGCTGCTGATAGCAAGCTTATCTGTTGGCTAGCAGGAGACTATATCTGTAACACAAATGCATCTACATATTGAATTTTCTCTGTCAGAGGATTAAATCCACCAGGAAAAAATATAATTCACAACAGAGGACAATTCTATAGGGTGGAAATTTATTCAGACTGTCTGCTTAGTATTGTAATGTTCATTATTATGGTTAAGTGGCAGAACTTAATGTTTGATCCTAAACATTTATTGACAAATGCACTCCTAGGACTGCTCTAGCAATCTGCGAATTAAACTTTATATAGAGAAAAGCATTGCTTTAAACATATAGGCAAAAAAAAAAAAAAAAAAAAAAAAAAAAAATAGGTTGACACAAATATCAGTAAGTGCTCCATTTGAGGAACTTTTAGTAAGTATCTATGCTTTCTTTGTGATTTTCTTTCATCAAAGGCACTAATCTTATTTTTTTCCAAGAGTCCTGATTATAAATCTCATGTTTCTGTGGCATTATAAAAATCCTTCAGACTGAAAGCCTCCAGAATAACTCTAGGCATATTTTGGCTTTTCTGCCATGTGAGGAATCCTCCCTTTGCTGCTGTTTCAGGAGCAAGAGCCTTTCCTACTATTAAAATTCAGAACTCAGAACTCTGAAAAGGTGAGAAGGGAGCAGTGGACCATGCATCCGCACATGTATTGGAGAGCAAGAAATTGTGCCCTGCTTTAAACCTACTGTAGATCACAATTGACTACGGAACTATCATCAGCACCTTCATAATATGATTATTATAGAGAGCTATTATGACATTTGCTGTTCTTTTTTGTTGTTGGGTGTTTTTTTTTTTTTTCTTTTTTTTGAGTTAGTGTGCCAACTTCTTAGAGAGATTATTGTGTTTCAGTAGGTATTATGTCAGATCAGATCATGTCTCTCCAATTTGTATCCTCCAACAGCACCTCTGAATTCAAACAACCTCTGTGTTTCACTATCACCAGGACCAAACAAACAGTCTGATCAGGGAACACTGGGGATCCCTGTGCCATAGCACACGAGCCTACTGCACTCAGCTCACAAACTTGCACTCACCATGCTCACTTGAGGAGGAGGCTACAGAAAGCTGTCTTGCACACAGACCTGCAGTCAGTCATAACTCAGCCCTGGTCCTGCCCTGCCTCCCTGCTCTGCTGCCCCTCTGGTCACACCACTAGAAAGAGAAGAAGTTTG